TATACAAGGCGTCGTTCCCTCGCGAAGCTTAAATATTTAGCCCATACTTCGGGGCATTCCTGTCGAAGGAATTCCTCTAATCTGAAACCCATGGCGACGCTTGTGCCTTTGGGGCTTGCGCCCCGCCGGCGTGTGGTTTCTAAATAGGCCTCCCCACCTTGCGGCAGGGAGGTGTGTGCCTAAAATTAACCTTTAATCGCCTGCGCTTTAGGTGCGCTAGGGTGAGTACCTAGCTGTCGCCTAATGCAACAAGCACACAAATAAAATTACAATGCCGCCTCTGAGACGAGAAATGTGTGTAGAATTCTACTTACGGACAGGAACCTGCCTACGAGCACAACACTACACTAACACTATCCGCTCGGAAGTCGGGCAAAGTTTCTTCGTTCTTCTGTAACGTTTCTTCTATAACTTTTCTTCTTTCTTGTTGCTTGAGACTTCCCTAACCGTAGACCGCGAAACACGACAACGATGAGGCAAGCAGTGCACACCAAGAGATAAAAGAAATGATATTAGCAATAACGGTTGCAAGATGGCTTCCGGCTCAGATTAACGTCCGTTCCGTGTGGAAGCACGAAGCGGAATGGCACGAAGCGGAATGTGCGTGCAGACACAACGGAGCGGTCTGTTTTATACTCTGTACCAAGCGTCCGGTGCACGTGCTGTTAGCGCATAATATCGCTGTCTCTTTCTTGCACTAAATGTCAGCTACCGTCATATTTATTTATTTATACTTTATGCACACAAAATATGTACATAGGCGGACTTAATGCCATCAGCATTATCTACCAGTCAACCTTTAGGTGGTCCAGAGAAGTTTAAGTAGGTGCATTGATTGTAAGAAAAAAAAACAGATTACTGAAAAAAAGCAAGACAAATTTATAAGCGATATTACATAAAATACTATACTGGGTATATAGGTATATGGTATATATTGCAATGATTATGTACATATAGAAAAATAAAGGTATTAAATACAAAATACTTATATAAATAAATATATACATGAATATATACATAAATATATACATAAATAATATACATACTTATATGATTAACGATCCTGTGAATCTGTCGACAATTTTTTGAGCAGGTATTCGCGAGTTTTTCTTTTAAATGCAGAGAGACTCTTAGCCGTCCTGATTTCGAGAGGCAGCGCATTCCACAGAAGAATAGATTTGACGAAGAAAGATGAGTACATAAAACCAGAACGATGAGAAGGACACTGGAGAAGACGATTATTCGTTGAGCGAAGATTTTTATCATTGGCTGAGCAAAGATATTTAAAGTGTGGAGATAAGTAGGAAGTAAGAAGGAGTAGAAGAAGAATTAAGAAAAGAATACAGAGTGGTCAGTGCTCTTAAGGAGCGGCGTTGGCGAATAGGTAACCATTGAAGTTGAGAACGATAGATAGACACGTTGTCATACTTATGAAGATTGAAAATGAATCGAATGCAGTTATTCAGAAGTCGGTCTAGTTTATTGAGGTGATCTGCATTCAGGTCAGGTTATATGGTTATTATTTATTTTATTTATGTGAAAAGCCAATCGAGCAGACGGTGATGACCAGCCGATGTTAAGTGAATACCGCCGCCCATGGACATCTGCTACACCCGAAGGTTCCTGATGCGTTGACAACCTTATGAAACGAGCCCCGTGCTGAAAGACAGAACCCATGGGGGTTCTGTCTTTCAGCACGGGCACCCCCTTCCATCCAGAGGCACACTATCAGTCAGTAAAATTAGGCCCACAGGCCAAATTCTTACACCTCGGTACCCGGATTTCTGGGTGATAGTGATCTCTTCTCTTTCCGTGGCCTTATTTGGAGTAATTACCTCTTCGCGAATGTATACTGCCTACTATGTGTTAAGTTAACTCTATGTATACCATGTATGTTAATGACGTAAACTTATGAAGAATGAAGGTTTCTTGTCTAGCCATTTATTCACAATACATTTTTAAGAACTATATAGAATATATTATTATAACTATCTAGACTACATTCATATATAAATAATAGAATATATTTTGGGCTTTTAAGTAAATAGGAGCCTATCATCTCCTAACCTATCTATGTGAGTCATCTCTGTTCAAATAATTTAGCTGAAATAGTAATTTTAGTCACTGTTGGATTGATGGATAAACGTGGAGTTATGATTTTTACAAAAATATATAATCAATCCACGCGAAAATAACCGCCTATATATGATATATAGTCGATTGATGTTATATTCCAGCCTATTTTAAAAAGACCAATTTTCCCTAATTGAAATTTTGCTTGCTTAATATTGACAGGCGCAAAAAATTATTTTAGAAATGGCGTGCAGACTTCAGAAATTAAGTAATTTTTTAAAAAGACACAAAAATACACAACAAATAGATATTGTATAATTGCATAGCAGAAAGTATATAAAACAATAAAGGTACATTATCCACGAAGATTTGTTTGGAAACAGTTCGAACGATAGACACAAGCACGATCGGTCGATTAAAAAAAACATAAAGCAATAACTTTGTAGTATAATAAATTATAATATTGGGATGTTTAATGAGTATGCACGGTATAAAAAGAAGGAAAGGTTAGTTGAATGTTAAGAAATAAATGTAAAACCAATCCCAGTGTGCTTCGAAAAATAATACGATTGGTTTTTGAAATTGATAAATTTGTCGTACGGTGGTATTAAGAATTACATATTTTTTTAAATAGTCAAAATATTTTTTACTCACAAATATTGACTTTTTCCTCTGAGAGATGTGATGGCACTGATACTTTTCTGTATATGTTGAATATTATTATCCAATAATGTGACTAACGCATTAAACATGTCAGGTTATCTTGGGAAATAAGGCAGTTGAAATATGGCAAATGTTTTAAACCCAATAAAAGAGACATGCCCATCCCATATGTGCATACGGTATCCATTTAAATCTAGACAGTCACAATTTTGAATATTAATTGAAAGTGTCTAGTCTGGCACCAGTGCACATTTAACAAAAATTAATACACTGTCACTAGTGATAAAAGTAAAGTAAGCCTTTAAATGTCCCACTGCTGTGCAGAGGGCTCTGCCTCCTCACTATGAGGGTATTAGTCCATAGTCCACCACGCGACCACACTGCAGATTGGAGGACTTCACATACTTTCCAAATATTATTTTTTCGTTATTATTTCGAAAATATGCAGGTTTCCTCACGATGTTTTCCTTCACCGCTGAGCAGGTGATAAATCGGCACTTAAGTGTAACACAAAAATGCAGAGCCGTTACTCACATGCAAGAGTTATGGCGAGAGCGCGTGAAAGAGTCTTTAACAGTTGCTAGCCGGGCGCCAATGTTAAATTTGGCGGAAAAGTACATTACATCTACACCGTTACACCGTTTTTTACATCTCATATTTACATTTTAAGTCCTACTAGTACTATTTTTCCCCTGTGGGTTGACCCATCGCTTTCGAACAACTGCTAATTTTATTGTCTAATTAATAACATTTGCGATAAGTAACATATTCTTGTGGCGGAATAGCATTTTAATTATGTGAGACTGCCAGTCTTGAGTAGTTGACAGTCTGGAGTTTGACATTGAGGGCTTGTATTACTCATACAGCTCTATTTGATATCGATATAAGTACTTCGTTTTGCATAGGTTTATTGAATCGGGTATACACACTAATGCGTCAGTCAGTTAAACATTATTACTTTTTATAAATTCAGCAATTTAACTAGAAAGTAACCAACTAACAGGATCAACAATGAAAATAACAGTCAAGTCAACATTGTCGAAGACACGACAAGCACCTCACGACGTTTTTTCAAGATTAGCTTGTTCTAAATTGTCAAACCTTCAATTAGACTATGTCTAAGTTGAATAACATAAACTGAAAATAAAAAGTTATAAATATAGATTTTTTTTCTTAAAGCATTACAAATAACAAGGTATTTAAATATTAATACAAAAATATTATTATTATAGTCATATGACATTACAAATAGACGACGACTGCAAGTTACATGTTATTAAACAAAAACGCATATAAATTAATGGTGTTCAGTAGGAAATTCACAAATAGATAAGTAAAATAGATAAGACGTCGAGACTTACGCTCAGTGAGGATGTCGACCGTTGAGCTTAGTGGTTGGAGCGTCTAGACACTTAATCTGGATGGCACAGGTTTGAATGCTTGAAGCAGCGAAGAAGTTTGTGACAGTTTTATCTGCACATTTTATCTACGTGCAGAGATAAGCACTAAAAATTTTAATCTAAAAGTTTTTGCGATGAAAAATGAAACCTAATGAGTACTTCAAACTATGACTATACATTTAAACGTGAACTTCAAATTAACAAAGTCAACAAAAGTTGAAACCTGTGATACATATCAGCTTTCAATCTCCGTTTGAACATAGTAATCGTCAACCAAAATATTAAAAACCAAAATGTTTATATGTGTGTAACATATAACTTTTTGGTTTTTAAGACTTTTTCTAACTTTATCAACTATTTGATGTACCGAAATTTATGTTGCTCCGACAAATATCTATCCCAATTTATTTATTGTCCTCAATAGTTGCCACACAGTATTATCATTTCAAGATAACATGAACGGAGTGAAAACAACAATACGATACAACTAAACGAACCCCATCCATTGTTTTTCTGATTATTCAAACTTTATGTCGAGTCAAGAATGTACTTGAATAATTAAGAAATTAAGAGATGGATCCTTTCCTTTCCTTCAAGATCCTTTAGAGGTTGGTTTAGATATGTGCAAACTTTGTTTAAGATAATTTTAATAGCAAATGTAACAAAGTAATTGGTGATAAATAACACATGGACACAGCACACTGAAATAGTGAGTCAAAAATTACTAATCGTTTCATTGGCGAATCGATTTGCGTTTTCCACTGCACTAATAGTGCACTAGTGAATAAACCGCATTCCTCCGTACATTCGTGTTGCATCGGACCAGTTTCGGTTCAGTTATCGGCCGACATCGACGTGTACAACATGGCCCTGCTGTTTGTGATTGCGTTTATCGTCGTACTTTACTTGTACGCAACTCGGAACCACAACTACTGGGCCAAGAGGAGAGTGAGGCACGAACCGCCCGTGCCGATATTCGGCAACCACTTTCGGAACGTATTCGGCATAAAGAGTATGACGGAGATATCGACGGAGCTGTACAGGAAGTACCACTACGAGAAAGTAATCGGATACTACCGCGGGAACACGCCGGAGCTGGTCATCAAGGATCTGGAAATAGCGAGGGACATCTTGAGCGTGGACTTCGCCTACTTCTATCCGAGGGGGCTGGGGAGGGACCCGAAACGCGAGCCTCTGTTAAACAACCTGTTCCACGTGTCCGGCGACACCTGGAAACTGCTGCGGCAGAGGATGTCCCCTGCGTTCACCACGGCGAAGCTGAAGAAGATGTTCCCGCTTGTCGTACGCTGCGCGGAGAAGCTGCAGACGGTCGGCGAGGAAATCGCGTTGAGGGGCGGCACCTGCGACGTGCGAGAACTGATGGCGCGCTTCACTACGGAATTCATAGGCGCGTGCGGCTTCGGAATAGAGATGGACACGATAAACAGCGAGCACTCCCTCTATAGGGACCTCGGCAAACGGATCTTCCACCGTTCCCTGAGGAACATTGTCATGATCGGCCTGTGGGACCTGTTCCCCGAGGTCAGACCCCTGCTGTACATCAACGAGAGGTCAATAGAGGACTCGATAACGGAGATCGTGATGAAGATCCGCGAGCACAGGAACTACAAGCCCTCCGACAGGAACGATTTCATCGATCTTCTGCTGGAGCTGGAGGCGAAAGGTAAGATAGTCGGCGACTCGATCGAGAGGACGAACCCGGACGGGTCCCCTGTGGAGGTCGAGATGGAAATGGACCTAATGTGCATGGCCGCTCAGGTGTTCATCTTCTTCGCGGCCGGTTTCGAGACCTCCTCATCGGCCACCAGCTACACCTTACACGAGCTCGCGTTCCACCCCGAGATCCAGGAGCGGGCCCAAAGGGAAATAGACCGGGTCCTCGAAAAGTACGACAACAGATTGTGCTACGACGCGATTGCGGAGATGACGTACCTAAACATGACGTTCAAGGAGTCGCTGAGGAAGTTCCCATCGCTCGGAGTGCTGAACAGGGTGTGCGCGAGGCGGTACACGATACCCGGTTTGGATATCACGATAGACCCCGGCGTGAAGATAATAATTCCGGTACAGGCGATACAGAACGACGACAATTATTTCGAAAATCCGGAGGAGTTTTGCCCCGAGAGATTTTCACCCGAAAAGGAGAAGCAGCTGAATAATTTCGTGTATCTACCATTCGGCAGAGGACCACGGGCTTGCGTCGGTAAGTTTTTATATTATATTTTATTTATGTTTATTATTTTTCCTTTTAAATAGGTGTTATGGAATAAAAAAAACTTAAACATAATGACCAAAAATGTATGAATCTATTAAAGACTATTTTTAATGTCATTAATTATTTCGACGTATTAATCAATTAGTACGTCGTACGTCGATTAGTTAAATCATTGGATAATTACAAATCTAATGACTGGTCAACTAGGTCGAGATCGTTAAAATACCTTCCTTGAATAAGTTATCAAACTCGGTACTTGATGATTGTCATGTATGATAATCATTTTAATTATAATACCAAGCTAGCTTTATTCATATTCATACATAATAATTATCATCTAATTTACGAATATTAATGAAGGATGTGTAATTCTAGAAGATCTAGGAACATAAGACTTAGCCTGTACACTTGTAATTCAAAACGCACAACTAATATGAGGGAAACTAAAAGATACTATATCGATAGAAAAGCTGCTGTGGTATTTCGACCTTTAAATAAGCGGGCCCTGGTAACTCACAGCAGAAAAAACGCAAAAGTATAAAAGATACTTTAATTTTACGTTGGCATTTTGTGAAGCCCGAACTCCGTTCATAACCGAAAGAGCTTTTCCTGCATACATCAAGTTCGAGACATATCTCGAATGGAAACGCTGTTTATGAGTAGCTGCTATTATGGTATCACTGTTGACCATACAAAATGGTCTCCAACAGAGGTCCGCAACTTGCTCAAGAATTAATTATTTACTCTTTTTAAACCTCGTGAATTGTAAATAGTAGTTGGACAAAGCACTATAATATAAATCAATAACGGGCAAGCGAACAGAGTATGAAGAAGGTTTATTTTTTTACTTAATTTCTTTTAAATAGGTATACGACCCGTGGTTTTATTGAAAACAACTCAATACATAATTGTATTTTGTTGTTTTCAATAAACTGGTAGGCACTAGAATAAAAAAACACATTTAATTCCTACTCTTCTTTATTTCATTCTTTTCATCTACATCAAATATACACTTATATTAGATAAGTTAACAATATTTTCACTTTCACACCTGATGCAAAATTGAAAAAAAAAAGATTTGGTAGCTTTTTGTATACCATAGTTTTTGGTTGGCATACAACAGCTATTTTTTAAATTTTTTTGTTATTTTTCAAAACTGAGGAATGATATCGGTTCGATCGAGCTACATCCGTTTGGTTCGATCTAAGAAGTAAACAATTGCGACTAATGTTTTATTGTTCTTCGTAATAATTTAATTTTCCTCCAATAAATTTAGTTTTTCGTCATTCTCGTATAATAGTTTCCTTGGTGTCTATTGTGGGTTAGAAAAAGTATATTGCGGAACCAAGTAACATACATGATATGTAAATTTTACGTACTTTACACCATCTATTTGTTTATTTAAAATATGGTATGACATCTCTTACGTTTTAGGGGCCCGTCTGGGCGAGATGCAGTCGTTAGCAGGCCTCGCTGCTGTACTGCAGAAGTTTACAGTAAAACCGTCGAAGGACACCAAAAGAGAATTAGAAATCAACCACAAGATGAACGTCGTCCAAGGAGTAATTGGAGGTTTGCCGTTAAAATTATCTTTAAGACAAAATGTAATTTTACATAGTAAAGATTAAAATTGTTTCTGTACATTCGCTCTATATATTCCAGCATAAGATCAATGTTAAAATAATTTCGATTGTGAAGTCTGTCAAAAGGTGACTTGGTTGATAAACGAGCAATAATTGTGTACAATTAATAATACAATAGAATTTCTTTATTATTACAAATGTGAAAAAGTGAAATGTTTGCTGAACGTTTTAACGTTTATCAGATTTTATCTATAATACTGTGAGTTAATGAACAATATTAAATGAAAACATAATTATAAGCAGAAAATGTAGGAAATATACTTTAAGGGTTTGATTTTCTTTATATTGTTTTCATTTATGAATTTGGTTTGATAATTTGTGGCTCGTGTGGGTCTCATACGACGAGAGACTTTTTGAGTATTATTATACCAAATTGTAATTCTGTAATATAAATGTTAACTAAATTAATTTAATTTTAGACATGTTTATAAATGTACTAACATAATGAAATTATTTATACATATATGAAACTACCTTACCTGTATTCTTGTCTTTAAAAATATGACTTGTCTTATATTTTGGCTTGAAGGTCTCGTTATCAGGCCATAAAAGCTGCATAAAAAATGTTTGTAGTATGTTTTGTAGACATACAGATTATTTTGTGAACTGTCAAATTTTGACCTATTTTGTACTGATTTTTTAAATTTTGGAATAACATAATTTACGATTGTAATTGTCGCAGTTTCAATTTACATTGATTGTCATGTCTGTGCAATACGTTAAGATATATTATGGTCCATACGACGCATTTAATACAGTTTCCCACAAACCACAGAAACTAAGAGGCCTAAAAGGTTTGTGGCGCTTCTCTGTACTATAGTTGAATTACTTACACCTTTTTTCTTTGCTTTATTCTTCATCTGGTGCAGAGCCTCTAGACTTGAACCAAAAATTTAATTATCTCAATGTCGTATCCGACAATTTCGACATAATGCACTACATTGATTTGAATTTTTGCTGGTATACTTACAAGCTTTACCCAAAAAAAATTAAATACCTAGTGTATTTGAACTATTTTTTAACAAAAAAGGTCAACTACACTAGGTAAGCGAATTACAAACAAAAAAAAATACATTTTAAAGAAGATTCATATAAACAAGTGTCTAAATTATTATGCGAAACATTAAATTGACCGTAGCTTTATATTTTTCATCTGGTTTTTTGTTTATTTATTTAATAATTATAGACTGTACGTTCATCATATTTATTTCTTTTTTAAAAACTTGGTCTTTACTTTAGGATAACATTATCCTATGTCGTAAGGGCGTTTTACAAACATAAATTTCACATGGATAAACACCCACACGAAACAACTAACTATGGGTCACACAAATATTTGTCCCACGTGGGAATCGAACCAACGACCACCGACGCCGAAGCCAATATCTTGGCAACCGCGCCGCGGAGTCATCTAAATCAACACTAACTCTGTTTAAGAGCGTTTTTAATTCATCAGATCGCCTACAAAAACTTGGCTATCGCGTCGACTTAGTGCCAGTCGAGTATATAAACTACTGTATGCTGGAAATGTGCGGGCATGAGGTATTTATAATATAAGATCGTCATCGCTTTTGTATTCCATCGGCGTGAGGTCACTGCTAAGCTATTACGTGATACCTTTTTCAATTGGAATCAGGAATTACTTCCCTTCAGTGACTGGGTGGCGCAGTTGCTGAACTATTACCATTGGCTCCGTGCCGCGGATCGTGGGTTCGATTCCCACACGGGAGAAATATTCTTGCGACCCACAGATAATCGTTCTGGTTGTATGTTCCCAAGGAGGGCAGACTACATGCAGGCCACCGGTCGTAAAAAACCTAACCCATAAACTACGTGGTTCACGTGTTGTGTCGGCCCCACCTAGACCCCGCCTATTTTTTGTAGTAGTATAGTGCCGTGATAGCTCAGTGTCCGGGCGCTCGCCTTTAATTCAATATACTCGAGCAACCCGAGTTCGATCCCCGGTGCCGGCACCAATGAAGTTTTTAACTTTAAGTGCTGACTTATCACGTGCTCCGCGGTGAAGGAAAACATCGTGAGGAAACCTGCATAGTTTCGAAATAATAACAAAAAAAATATATTTGGAAGATATGTGAAGTACACTATACTACAAAGAACTACTAAAGGGACAAAGGCAAACTGTGGTAGAGCCACGCACCAATCCTCACTGTTGCTAGAATGGGCCGGATCATCCGGGGAAGTACTACTACTACGACCTCACACGTAGGAAGTGGATAACACTTCTGCACCTCAAGGTGTTGAAAATGTCCATGGGCAGTGGTGATCACTTATCGTCAGTTGAACCGCTAGATCGTACCACCTTAAAAAAATTGGTGAGTGAGGTACACTCACCTGCCGATTCGGGCAGTAGTCAAAGTTGTTGCATGGCCCTACCACAGTTTTTTTTTTAATTGTTAAAGTTGTCAAGCGAGCATGCGATTCACCTGAAGTTAAATGAATATCTAATCCGGCACATGGTACTAGAGGTGTCAAATATTTAATATTATGACATACCTGTTCTATTTTATAAATGGGTATAAACGCCTACATCCGATATGTCAATATTTTCTCTTCGATATATCGAGGCCAATATAGAAAATTTTGTAAATATCGACACATCGATATATTACATCACTTTCGATATACCTATTGCATAGTGGTGCGAGTTCCGGGCAGGTTTTCAGGTGCAACATACGGAACCTGCGTTTCAACGTGCCGGCCGAGTCGGACCCCGTGTGTTCGCGCGCCGTCGAGGCGGTGGCGGACGCGTCCGCCCAGTTCTCCAGGGCGAGGACCTACATGTGGTTCTGGGCGCTGATCGACAGCCAACTGTTCCGCCGCAGCGGCTTCGCCCCGAAGGACCACTGGCCGTTCGACGTGGAGCCCGAGGGCTACGACACATGCCTCGACTGCCACACTTGCTGCGGCGTTTTGAAGAAGGAAGAAGACTGACTCGAGTTTCATGTTGCCTATACAGTGTGGCGTTAAAACCGCGACAGTAAATGAACACACGTCTAACGCCGCTTGCCAATAATCATAAAAAATATACACGTTAAAAAAAAATCCATAATTAAAAAAAATATTTTCAACTAATTTAATAAAAATGAAACAAAATTTGTAACAGCCCATACAGCTACAAATGAACTGATTCATACATTCAGAGACTTTTTCATTCGTTGCCACAGCGTCGCATTACAAGTCTCTCCTTCTAACAGTATGTTTTATCTCTTTTAAATTCATTCAACCCATTCATGTGCTTTGTGACCTTTACAAATGAACTTTACGTTACAGTTTTATACGTAAGGGTGTTCTCAAATAGTTTTTGAAAAATTTAATAACGTGGTAAATATTGATGTTTAAAGAATGTAAATGTTTAATATAATTTAAAAAAATTATCCTCTATATGTGTGTTGATTTATGGTCGCGTTAGTAGCGCCACGTTGTATATCGGACTTAGCTGCGACAAGTGCCCATTCGTGCAACACCAGCTGTTGCGTGGGCCTACCACAATAGAACAGACAAAATATCCCCGCACACAATGTATTGTGCTTTTAATATAATAAACTCTCCTTAACTATATTGATATATGCTTGATTTCAAGGTTGCGGGAGGGTCGAGAGAAACAACTGATTTTGTATTAATTATATTGAAACAATTTACACGGAAGATTCGGTATGCATTGCGTGGCTGGTTGGAAAGAAAATCCCTTAGAAAGTTATCGTTTTGCAATATAACGTGAAACCAGATTTATGTATCTCCGTTGCGATGTAAAGGAGTAACGTAAACCTTAATGCAGTATCTATAAATAGTGAGGTCCTTTTGTTGTTTGAAGATCAGACAAAGTTATCAGACAATAGATTAAGCGAAACAAAGACGTGTGTTTAATAATGATAATAATTGTTTATTTTAAACGACAGCCAAGATAAGAACCAAATGATATACGAGACCAAGCGCACTCCGATTTGATAAATCAATGAATCAAACCTTGAAAGTTCAACTGCATCATCAATGTTTAAAATAATGACGCGAATAAAAAATACGAGGCAAAGCTGTAATAATTCTTAACTTGTCGTTCATGTGTTACATTTATGTATGAATGTGACAAGCGACTTGGTGGTTCACCTGATATTAAGTAATAACCGCCTCCCATGGACATATGCAACACCTGATGGTAGGTGGTGGTACTTCCCCGGACGGACCTGCCCACTCGTGCAACAGTGAAGACTGCTGCGTGGCCTTACCACAGTTAAAATTTAATTTAACCGTGGTAGGGCCAGATGGTGGCCACGCAGCAGTCTTACTTATAATAAAAGTCGACACCCATTGTCATTAAGTAACATAATTATGAAATTAGACGCGACAAAAATCTTGTGAAATAATCATCGCGTTAAATTTTTCTATGACCGTTACTGATATTTAAAATTTGGAATTATAATAATTTCAATACTGTTTCAACATTATTATTTCTTGTATCTACGCGTGAAGTACATTCAATATAACAATTGTTAAGATTTTAACGCTATAAAAGCCTTGCATATATTATTTAACACCTTCAAGTTATTTTCAGATTATCACATATCCTTGTGGTTACTGTGCAAGTCCTGGGCTAAGAAAAACTGTTTCATTAGTATTAGGCATGAGAAAAAGTGCTACTTTTTAATCTCTGTGACCGCTGTTCCAGTTCCATAAAAATCACAGTAATAAATCACTGCGACTTTGTCACTTCGATCATACAACTACGGTAAATATATTTCGAAAATGCGTTAATCTCTGCGGGTAATAAATGACTGCGGGGGAAGACGAAGACACGATACTCGTGACATATCACAATGCTTACAAAACACGATTCTTAGGAGTTGTGCCCTGCAGTCATTTATTACCCGCAGAGATTAACGCATTTTCGAAATATATTTTCAATTTTATAACAAAAGAGGTAATGAACATAAATAAAACTTTGAAACCTCCAAAATTAAAATCTTGTTTTAAATTATACTCTTACTTCACTGACATGCCTAAATTTGTTAAGCTTTTTACATAATATACAATACAAACTGTACATACGTATTATCGAAGTAACCCGCGCCATAAAATTTGGCGATAGGAACCCTTCGGCACGCGACGGCACTCATCGTCTGGGCCGGCCAGGAGCAGCGATCCCGTCGCGTTTTGCCTTTGTTCGAAAATCGCTCCGTTTCATTCACTGTGATGAGTGTGAGCGAAACAGTGACACGGAACGAAGTGATTTTGTCACAGTGATTTTTCATACGTCTCAGTCACGCCATAGACATTCAGATCACAGTGATTTTATCACTGTGACAATATTTTTGTCACATCGCTAATTAGTATGCAAATTCGGCCCAAACTCTGCATTTGGATTCAGTATCGAATTCGCATTACACTTTCCGATAAAACTATAAACATTATACATGCTTGAAACTTTACAATAGCACATAACTCCTTTTACGAGTATCTATTAATCAACGATGTGTAATAAGGTTGCTAAAATAAGAAAAAACACTTTTAAATATTCCGTTGAACAGAAACATCAGTACGTGTTTTCGGCATATTTTTTTTTCTTTAAAAAACATTGTCCTTACTTTAGGATAACACTCTCCCGTGTTGTAAGGACTTTTTACAAACATAGATTTCACGTGGACAAATACCCGGATGCGAAAAAACTATCTGTGGGTCACACAAACAGTTATTACGTGTGGGAATCGAACCCACAACATCTGACGCCGAAGCCAATACCTTGGCAACTGCGCCACGGAGTCATCAAATGTTATTATTGGTATTGTCTAGGTTTTTACGACCGGCCACCTTCCAACGTCAACCCTATTCGGGAACAAACACCCAGATCCCAAAATGTCTGTCGGCCACACAAACATGTGCGGTAGTCGAACATACAACCCCGGCGCCGAAACCAATGGCTTAGCAACTGTTCCAATGAGTCATCCAGTTCCGTTGCAAAACCATATGGCGATGTGAAGTCCTTATTTATATTAACGATTGCCTTTAATCATCATCATTTCAGCCTGTTTGAGTCCACTGCTGAACATAGACCCCCCCACCCCACCCCCCCATAGACGGCCACGAAGTACGATCCTGAGCCACCTGCATCCATCGACTTCCCGCACATTTGCACAGGTCGTCACTCCATCTAGTGGGGGGGTCGTCCCACACTGCGATGGCCAGTACGAGGCTGCCACTCGAGAACCTTTCTTCCCCAACGGTTATCGGTTCTACGTACGAGCTACGTTTTCACAATTATTGTGTGCATAGTATTTACTATTCGACGCGAGTACTACATATACTCGTACACGTTAAGAGATCCATTACTTTACCGACATCGGACATCGACAATTTAAACACAAAATTAAAACTTCGATAAAATGCTCAAAATTGTTTTATTCAACAAATTCTAGACCGGTTCTTAATTTCAACAGTAATCTTACCTTTTTCGCGTCGTTGATTACTAAACAGTAGAGAGCTATGTTTAGCCAGAAATGATGTTGTTTATTGCTATCTGAGAATAATCATGAAACCATACGAGATCTGTACGGACACATCACACGTGTAATAGAGTTATAAAATACTCATAAAAATTCGAAAGACGTTTCCAAGATATGTCACATATTTTTAAATGGTCGTTAAATATTAAAAAGAAAAAAGAAAGTTAAAAAAATCAAACTTCAAAGACCAATTATTATCAATTTATAAAGAAACATGATCGTTACAATTAATACGAATTCATATTGCAACTTATTTCATGCGGGCTGGACGTTTTTATTCATAAAGTACACGTATTTTCTATTGCTCAACTTTGCTCTGATATCGACTTTGTTATATAAGGTTTTACTTTAAAATAATAGTATTAAAGTTCTTTTTTTATTACATAGGGTGTATAAAACATTACATTCAAAGATAAAACAGGGAGTTTAAACACTAATTTTTATTATACAGAGTCCCATTTCAATTGATACAAATAAAATATATACGAACACTTTCGTAATATAAGGCCACCGATTTCAAATAAATACATGTAATGGAAAAACAACTGCCCATCGCATTTCCTCATCAGTAACTGTTCTAAAATATAGCCAACACAAACTAGACCGAAAATAAATATAATGGAATATAATATAAGCGTATATATTACATAATATGTTGTAAACTTTTATTATTGCGTAAGTTATATCTTAGAATATTATATTTCGATAACATGTTCGGCTATTTAGTATCTTCTAAAAACATTATATTGTTACAATTTTTTTTATCTGTCGACGCAGTTCATACTGTGTTACGGCTAGTACCATCCGCTCGATTCTCGATAAATCGTTTTCGATCAACTTTCGAAAGTTTGAGGCGACATAGGTTTTTTTACATTAACAACATTATAATTTACTTCAAATATCCCCCATTTACCTAATCAAGCGTCTATGAACCTGTTAGCGATAACGGAATTCTTAATTAAATTCGCGAAACTCATTCACGCAGACTTACTTGAATCCTGTTTCTTCGTTAACACCGATTTCTTGATAGCCTCAATCAGGTAACATCTAGCCTAAAATTTCTAGCTGATAATGTACACATATGGATATAAATATTATGATTTATAAATTTCGCAATCTCAAAAGGAAACTGAAAGACGTCAGACGCTCATCGCTTGTTTATTGCATGTCGTTCTAGTTCATGAGACTATCAAAAAAACCATAAGAAAAAATCGGCGTCAGCCGTTTCTTTCTCAACGCTTTTCGAAAGCAATTTACAAAGAAGCGCGTAAACCACCGTCATAGAAGCTAATAATTTAATGATACGTAATGACCGAGGAATCTTAGTTCCGAGGGCAGTGTCGCTATAAAATCCGGAATATCAATCACTATACAACGTCCTTCGCACCCTAGTCCGCGCCGCCACAAGCACTAGTGTCCAGCTCTAGGGGGCAAGTGTGAACTCACTCACGACTCACTCTCGACTCATTTCACTTGGCTCTTCACGTGCTGCAAGAACTCGTAGTAGGAGAACGCCGACTCGACCCTGTCGTCCACCAGCCGATCGGTGAATTGCTGCCGCGACGGCGAGTTATCCCTAAAATCAAAATAGCATTAAGTGGAGGATTTTTTGAAGTTATACTTCTTTCGGCGCCTTTGGGAAAAATTGTTGTAGTGACAAATAACAGCAGCATCAACCGACAAATAAAAATTTTCTTTTGTTACGCAAAAGGAGTATAACTTCTTACATGGATACGTACACACCACACACGCTTTTTTATAGACATGTGGTATGATGAATACATATGGACTTCGCTTTGGCGTTTTAGCATGTTTGCCGAATATAAAAAATTAAAAATAAAATAAGTATACAAAATAAATTGACGCCCCAGGTGGAACATCGTGGCGGTTTTAATTGGTGTCCCCCCCCCCCCCCCCCCCCCAACAAAAAAAACAACCTGAGCACGATCAGGTTAGGTAGGATCGCTCTCGGCATTTCCCGCACGTCGACAAAAAAATTAAGTATGAAGAGGCTTGCCCCTCAATTTTGATCTACCTTATCTTGTTAATAATAATCATGAGATAGTATTGTTTGCTGATGATACCTCTTTAATCTTTAAAGTAAACCGACGTTCTTTAAGTTATGACGATGTAAACAATACTCTACTGTAGTACATTGGTTTAGTGCTAACTATTTACTGTTGAATAATAAAAAAACTAAATGTATTAAATTTACAACTTCCAATGTAAACATGTAAAAACTGATGTACTTTTATATGGGGAAGCGTTGGACCCTATTGACTCAACTGTATTCCTTGGCATAACTATTGATGCCAAACTGCAATGGGGCCCCCATATTAATAGACTGGCGAGTAGACTTAGCTCAGCAGCTTTCGCGGTCAAAAAAATAAGACAGTTAACTGATGTAGATACGGCTCGCTTGATATATTTTAGTTATTTTCACAGTATAATGTCTTATGGCATTCTGCTTTGGGGTAACGCGGCCGACATTAATACAATCTTTATCTTAAAAAAGAGAGCTATTCGTGCAGTTTACAATCTGGGCCCCAAAGAATCGTTAAGAAACTTGTTTAAAGAGATAAAGGTATTGACTGTTGCTTCTCAATACATTTTTGAAAATGTTTTGTATGTCCATAAAAATAAGGATAAATTTTTAAGACAATAATGTTCATGATATAAATACTAGGAGCAAAAATAAAATGATCCTACCCACAAGTAGACTGCGTAAAATAAGTAAATCTTTTATGGAACAATGTATACGTTACTACAACAAAATTCCAGAAAACGTTCAAAATGCATCAATAGCTAAATTTAAAAAAATTGTAAAAGAACGTTTGTGTGTTAAAGGCTACTATAATATTAATGATTATTTAAATGATAATACACTCTGGTAATGAACTGATCGCTCCAGGCTCTTTCAATCGGAGTTCTTATATTGTATTTTTAATGAATTTATGTCAAACTGCTTATTAAAAAAAAAAAAAGCCCGCTGAGTTTCTTTCGCCGGTTCTTCTCAGTACAGTGGCTTTCTTTTCCGAACCGGTGGTAGTGTTTTGACTATCAATAAGTGAGTGTAATGCTCCTATGTTGAATAAACACATTTGATTTCGATTTTGATTTTGAATAAATCACTACCACCGACCTGAGCACGACCACTTTCGCCTCGTGGGGCTGCTCTAGACAACCCCTCGCTCCACGTTAAAAACAAAAAAAAAAAAGGGATGCGTAGACGTTTGCCCCCGATTGAACCGCTACCACCGGTCTGAGCGCGACGGGGCCGCTCTAGACGCCCCCTTCCCCCACATCAACAACAAAAAAGGTATGAACCACCACCACCACCGACCTGAGCACGACCACTTTCGCCTCGTGGGGCTGCTCTAGACAACCCCTCGCTCCACGTTAAAAACAAAAAAAAAAGGGATGCTTAGACGGGTTTGCCCCCGATTGAACCGCTACCACCAGTCTGAGCGCGACGGGGCCGCCCTAGACGCCCCCTTCGCCCACATCAACAACAAAAAAGGTATGAACCACCACCACCACCGACCTGAGCACGACCACTTTCGCCTCGTAGGGCTTCTCTAGACAACCCCTCCCTCCACGTTAAAAACAAAAAAAAAGGGATGCGTAGACGTTTGCCCCACGGTCTGAGCGCGACGGGGCCGCTCTAGACGCCCCCTTCCCCCACATCAACAACAAAAAAGGTATGAACCACCACCACCACCGACCTGAGCACGACCACTTTCGCCTCGTGGGGCTGCTCTAGACAACCCCTCGCTCCACGTTAAAAACAAAAAAAAAGGGATGCTTAGACGGGTTTGCCCCCGATTGAACCGCTACCACCAGTCTGAGCGCGACGGGGCCGCCCTAGACGCCCCCTTCGCCCACATCAACAACAAAAAAGGTATGAACCACCACCACCACCGACCTGAGCACGACCACTTTCGCCTCGTAGGGCTTCTCTAGACAACCCCTCCCTCCACGTTAAAAACAAAAAAAAAAGGGATGCGTAGACGTTTGCCCCACGGTCTGAGCGCGACGGGGCCGCTCTAGACGCCCCCTTCCCCCACATCAACAACAAAAAAGGTATGAACCACCACCACCACCGACCTGAGCACGACCACTTTCGCCTCGTGGGGCTGCTCTAGACAACCCCTCGCTCCACGTTAAAAACAAAAAAAAAAAAGGGATGCTTAGACGGGTTTGCCCCCGATTGAACCGCTACCACCAGTCTGAGCGCGACGGGGCCGCCCTAGACGCCCCCTTCGCCCACATCAACAACAAAAAAGGTATGAACCACCACCGCCACCGACCTGAGCACCAGCACGTTCGCCGCGTACGGCCGCTCGTCGTTGAGCCGCTCGATGAACGCGTGCAGCAGCCGGCTAATTGCGGTATCGAGGCGGGGCAGGGAGCGCGACTCGTCCGGCAGCTGCGAGAACGCGCCCACCCCCAGCGCCCCCTGCAGGAAGTCCGCGCCCACGTTGCAGCACACGTACACGATCATCGTCTCGCCGTCGTCCAGCAGGTAGGCGCCGTTCGAGTTGATCCTGCGGAGTGGTTTTCTTTTTTTTATGTGAAAAGTTTGCCAAACGAGCAGACGGTTCACCTGATGTTAAGTGAGTACCGCCGCCCGTGGACATCTGTTACACCCGAAGGTTACAGATGCGTTGACAACCTTTTGAAAATTGGACTGTATGTATCATTCATCCTTCAGACGCTAGTGTTGCCAATAAAAGAATCGTCCAAATCATTTGAGTTGATCCTGCGGAATGTCATTTTAAGTGAGTCGCGCGCCGAGGCTGGGGTTGTCAACAGAAGATTCGTTGGTTCCAAATATCATTTTTAAAACTTGCCTACATTGAAATATTCTAATATACGAAGTCTAATGCAGGTATGCCTGCGCAGGTAAACCAGAGCGTGTGTGGGAATAGACCTGTACAGTTCATTGAACCTGCCCAGGCGACCAACGAGAGATCGAAAATCAATTCTTTCTAGTGATCCCTGCTGTAGGCAAACCTGCACAAGTAAACTGTCCGGTAACGTTTACAGCGTGCAATATAAAAAAACTTCCCGTTAGGTGGAACGTCAATTAAAATACAACATTTATTAAGCGGTGATAACATGTATTCAGTGGCCTTTCGGCAGAAACTGCTACAGGTTGAGTCTAGTGATTTCAATAACCTTCTTCCGCTAAGGTTAAATCCGTTAACCTATCGGCGGGGGGGGCATGCGGGGCGGATTGCGGGTTGCAATGACCTTCAGCGCAAAGGCAAACGAACCCAAATTCGGTTCCGGGTTCACTGACCTCCTGCGCAATGGAAAACAGATCCGGGTTCACTGACCTCTCGGCGGAGAGCTGCAGCCGCGGCGGGTCCGGGGCGGGGTCGCTGTCCTCGTCCTCGTCCTCGGGCCGCGGCGCGTGCTCGTGCAGGTTGTGCACCGCGTACAGCTCCGGGTAGACGGCGCGCAGCAGCTGGCCCAGCGGCAGGCACTTCATGTCGCACATGTCCGCGACGCGCTCGTCGAGCCGCGTCGACGTGCCCGTGCGGAACGCTTTCTGCGGGCGGGACGGTGCCGTTTTATTAAGTAAAGTAAAAAGTAAAGTAACAGCCTATACATGTCCCACTGCTGGGCAAAGGCCTCCTCTATATAGAGGGTATCAGGGCATAGTCCACCACGCGGCCCCACTGCGGGTTGGCGGACTTCACATATCTTCGAAATATTTTTTTTGTTATTATTTCGACAATATGCAGGTTTCCTCACGATGTTTTCCTTCACCGCGGAGCACGTGATAAGTCAGCACTTAAAGTTAAAAACTTCATTGGTGCCGGCACCGGGGATCGAACTCAGGTTGCTCGAGTATATTGAATTAAAGGCGAGCGCCCGGACACAGTTTATTAAGTGGCAAGCGATAACCGCCTCCCCCGGACGTCTGCAACACCAGTAGGGCTGCAGCGTCGACGCCGTTTAATAAAGCGTACCCCGGCTACCTCACTCACCACACGAAGCGCACCGCCCCTGAACATTTGCAACACCCAAAGGGTTGCAGCATCGACGCCGTTTAATAAAGCGTATAATAAAGCGTACCCCGGCTACCTCACTCACCACACGAAGCGCACCGCCCCTGAACATTTGCAACACCCAAAGGGTTGCAGCGTCGACGCCGTTTAATAAAGCGTACCCCGGCTACCTCACTCACCACACGAAGCGCACCGCCCCTGAACATTTGCAACACCCAAAGGGTTGCAGCATCGACGCCGTTTAATAAAGCGTACCCCGGCTACCTCACTCACCACACGAAGCGCACCGCCCCTGAACATTTGCAACACCCAAAGGGTTGCAGCGTCGACGCCGTTTAATAAAGCGTACCCCGGCTACCTCACTCACCACACGAAGCGCACCGCCCCTGAGCATTTGCAACATCCAAAGGGTTGCAGCATCGACGCCGTTTAATAAAGCGTACCCCGGCTACCTCGATCACCACACGAAACGCGGATGTGTAACACTTCACGCCGGTCTTCTGTGGGGTCGTGGTGCTTATCCGGACGGACCTGTCCATTCGTGCAACAGCCGAAGCGGTTGCGTGGTATTTTGTTCCTTTTGCGCAATTGGGAAAAATTATTAGTGAACTTTCACAATGCGCGACACCAAAAAGCGGCACCGAATCTATGGCGACCGCTAACAGTCTTTTGACATTCGCCCTATAATTCCGAGTCGTTCAATTATACAGTTATAAATCGAATTTAATGTCTTTTTTTCGCAAACTAAGAATATGACATTCGCCCTATAATTCCGAGTCGTTCAATTATACAGTTATAAATCGAATTTAATGTCTTTTTTTCGCAAACTAAGAATACTGGCCACACAGGATATCTTTTTACTGTCAAATTCAGAAAATCCTGTGAAAGTGCAGCTTAAAAGGAAATGCACATCGCATTTCCTTTTAAGCTGCAATTATAAATTTATCCAAATAAATAAAAGGTTCTGGTAGTTGCGGCGGCTGTGGTGGTTGTGGGGGCTGTGTGGTTGTGGGGGCTGTGATGGCTGTGGTGGCTTCGGGGGCTGTGGAGGCTGAGGAGGCTGTGGTGGTTGTAGGGGCTGAGGTCTCTGTGGAGGCTTCGGGGGCTGTGGAGGGTGCGGAGGCTGTAGTGGTTGCGATGGCAGTGGTGGTTGCGGAGGCTGTGGTGGTCGCGGGGGCTGTGGTGGTCGCGGAGGCTGTGGAGGTTTCGGGGGCTGCGGTGGCTGGGGAGGCTGAGGTGGTTGCGGGGGCTGTGGTGGTTGTGGGGGCTGTGGTGGTTTCGGGGCCTGTGGTGGCTGTGGAGGCTGAGGTGGTTGCGGCGGCTGTGGAGGTTGAGATGGATATGGGGGCTGTGGTGGTTTCGGGGGCTGCGGTGGCTGTGGTGGCTGAGGAGGCTGAGGTGGTTGTGGGGGCTGTGGTGGTTTGGGGGGCTGTGGTGGTTTGGGGGGCTGTGGTGGTTTGGGGGGCTGTGGTGGCTGTAGAGGCCGTGGAGGCCGTGGAGGTTGCGGAGGCTGTGGTGTTAGCGGAGGTTGTGGTGGTTGCGGAGGCTGTGGTGGTTGCGGGAGGCCGTGGTGGTTGCGGAGGCTGTGGTGTTAGCGGAGGTTGTGGTGGTTGCGGAGGCTGTGGTGGTTGCGGAGGCTGTGGTGGTTGCGGGGGCTGTGGTGGTTGTGGGTGCTGTGGCGGCTGTGTGGCCACAGGGGCCTCACCCTCTTGAGCAGAGCCAGCAGGTAGAGGGGCAGCAGCCGCAGCGAGGCGGGCGCGTGCAGTGCGCTGCTGACGCTCCCCGCCGGCAGGTTCTGCGCCAGTTTGTGCGCGGAGAGCGCGTCCACCGCCACGTTCATCAGCGCCTCGCGCGCCTCGGACATCGAAGCGGACGCACAGCGGTCCACCGCTGTAAAATCGAACGGGCCACTTGTAGAGTGGCGTTTGAACACTCCGTGGCGCACTCCGTGGGTCGTGGGTTCAATTCCCACACGGGACAAATATTTGTGCGACCCACAGACTGTTGTTTCGCATCTGGGTGTTTGTCCGCGTGAGATTTATGTTTATAAAACGTCCTTACAACACAGGACAATGTTATCGTACAGTAAGGGCCACGTTAAAAAAAATAAAAAGTTAAAAAGAATAAAAGAGTATGTTTATTTATTTGTTTATTTAAAACTTTATTGACAAAAAGTTTACATGATTTCCAGCCAAAGGCATTTCATGCCAGCTGAACCTAACGGCTAACGATTCTATTCGTAAAGGTTATATTCGTTGAGACATCACTAAAGATCGTCCAAAATTTAGCTTCACGATCGACCACTAACTACTGTCTGCTATATACCCAATGACTAAAGTGTTTTCGAAGGTTTCCGCAAATGACAGAAAGTACTTAAATTTCTAGAAATTTTATTGCTACCTACCCATTTTACTTAGTAAGCCAATGATGCATTGCTGGTCCGCGGAGTGCAATACGTCAGTCAGGTTGCTCGCTATGGGCAGCGCGAGTGTATGGACTCGTATTCTCCTTTCCCCTGCAAAAAATTTAAACTCATTTAAATATTTATCCCGATTTACGTCATGCGCACTCTTTATTTTAATAGTTACAAGGTTATAAGTGTAATCAGCAACTGCAATCTTACGGCCTTATCAATAAGTTTGAGCTTTTTAAAGATAAAAGGAATTTTTCACTAATCTATGTATCTTGAAAACGGTCGCATACCTGTTTTACCATTATTATTGACCAACATCAAAAAGGAGGATGACAACTCCGTGTTTTGGGGACAGATTTTAAAAATTGTTCCCCCCCCCCCCCCCCCATATCAATTTCATTGGTATTCGACCTTCGACTCGGAAGATACGGGAAAAATGTATGTGTTCGTCACATACATTTTATTTGAAGTCAGTTTTTAAGGTTCCGTACCCAAAGGGTAAAATGGGACCCTATTACTAAGACTCCGCTGTGTCTGTCTGTCTGTTTGTCTGTCCGTCTGTCACCGGACTGTATCTCATGAGCCGTGATAGTTAGATCGCTGAAATTTTTACAGATGATGTGATGATTTTTACAGATGTTGCCGCTATAACAACAAATACTAAAAACCAGAATAAAATTTTTTTTTTAAGTGGGACTCCCATACAACAGACATGATTTTTTTGACCGTTTTTATAGATAATGTACGGAACCCTTCCTGCACGAGTCCGACCCGCACTCGGCCGGCATTTTTGGTAATAAAAATGTTTTACTTTTTTTCATTTCTTCCTCACACTGCAGACGTATACGGTCGTTCGTTAGAAAGGGACGGGAGCAGCTTCTGTCTCACCTTTACTGCTCGTGTACAACAGGGCCGCTTGGAAGCAGACTTGCTGGAGGTCGGAGAGGGACTCCTCTATCGTCAGCTGCATCCCGAAACCGGCGTCGGGCGAGACGTTGGGCAGGGAGAGCAGGTCCGTGGACCTCACGAAGAAGTTGCCGTGGAACGTGTGGATGGAGATACCCCTGCATGCGACAAACCGATTGACACATCGACATCATCACAGATTAATTTGGGAATTGGCATTATGTGGGAAAGTGCCACACGAGCTGGTGTTTCGCCTGATGTTAAGTGATAACCGCCGCCCATTGACATTTGCAACGCCCGTAGGGTTGTAGATGAGTTGCCACCCTTAAATAAAGCGGGCCCCGTCTGCCTTACTAATCAGATGAAACGCAGAAGTATAACACTTTCTCTTCATGCGGCTCTTCTATGAGGTCGTGGTACTGATCCAGACCTGCCCATTCCTAAAACAGCGAAAACTGTTGCGAGGCCCCACTGTTTCGGTTGGGCACAAGGATAGACTTTTGTTCTTGCATTGAAAGTGTCGCCAAGTAAAGGAACTTTTGTTTTAAGGAGAATTATAATACCACAATATGGAAGTGAATTGATCGCTCCAGGCTCTTTCTCATTTATATTGTAAAAGCATTTTCACTGGCACAATAATTAAAAAAACAATGATTGCCCTGATGAGTTTCTTTGGCCAGATCTTCTCTGGTGGCTTTTCTCTTCCCAACCGGTAAAAGTAAAATTTTGATAATCAATAAGTGAAATGCAAGTGTTATACTTCTGCATGGCCCGCTTTATTGAACACCTCTGCAACTCTACGGGTGTTGCAAATGTCCATGGTCAGCGGACATCACTTAACATCAGATGAACCGCCAGCTCGCTTGCCATCTTCTTAAATGACAAAATGGTTCTACAGGGAGATTTTTTGAGGAGTGCCCAAATTTACACAGGAGGTTCAGACTCGGTAGTATAATCGTTTATTGAAATAAAAAACAAAGTTTTTTTCCGAAAAAATACTATTCTATTCCCTAAAAAACAGAACGTGTTGACAATGCGGTAGTCATTCATAAATACCTAAATTTTACTGTGCACGAACTTGTGTGCGTGTTAGTTATGAATACGCGTAAAATAAATGAGTTGCGTATAAATTACGCACTTTTTGAGAGAAGTTCAAATGAATTTAATTAATTACTTACTAGTGATTTTAAAAATTTATCATTTTTTATATAACATTATTTATGTCTAGAATTTAATTTAAAAAAATGGGTACACTTAGAAAAGCCACCCTGTATATTGAATGAAGATATTTGAGTACTGACTTCTTGATTTTACACGGATATTATACATATTATATGAAACTAGTCTACGGATTTTATCGCGGTTTTTATTTGTTTCGAAATTCCCGACTGTCCCGTTACCATACCATGGACGCTGGAGAGGGTTCGAAGCGTCGGGAGTTTCAAAACGCTACAAAATCCGTAAACCGATATAATTTATTATGAAGATGGGGTTTGAACCGGCTACCTCGTGCAGCGCACGCGCATGACCGCCTCGAAGCCGATCTTCCTGGTGAGGTATCTGGCGAGCGCGCGCGTCAGCTGCTCCGCCTGCCAGCCGCGCGCCGCCCGGAACAGCGGCAGGTGGTACACCGTGCCGGCGCTGAACTTGCTCATGCCGCCTGACAATATGCCGCATAAATGAGGCAAGCCCAGTAAGGCGTCGAAGTATAACGAGGCTAGAAGGTTAGCACTGAAAATCAGCGCTGTATCGGGGCCTCGACTTCCGGCATAGCATAATGCCGAGCTGCTAACCTAATTTACCGGAATGGGGCGTAGAATATTTTTGGTTTGCTAAAGTGCTTTATCGTTTGTTTCATTTTTTAATTATGCATTAATTTTGCTTTACTGAATTATTTAAAAGTATTTTTTTATTTCTTTCATTTCTTATTTTTATTTTTTGTTAACTTTAGTTTTTCTTTTCTCTTTTATTGTGTGCGTCCTTTTTTGGTAAATAAATGGATTTTCTTTCTTTCCTCTTTCTTTCTTTCTAAATTCAACGGTTTCGTTCCTTCGTTCCGACGATGTGGTAAAGCTGGCTACAGAGCAACGGCAAGGCCCTGAACTTAAATAGTTCATTAATTCGTTCCAACGATGTGGTAAAGCTGGCTACAGCAGCTGAGCATGACCGTCACTAATAACGGAAAACAACTAAACTAAGTTGGACACAACAACTCTCTCGCTCGCTCGCATCTCCCATCTCACTCACGCCCGCACTGACAATCGCGGATACTAACTGAGCGTGGCGAGGTCGCAGTACTGCGAGCTGAGCAGGAACAGGTCGACGGCTACTTGGGCACCGCTGCAGTCCAGGGCCAGCCGCTTGTAGAAGTCACTGGCTGGGTTCAGGTGGGCCACCTCCTTCGAGGAGCGAGCGTTGGGATCCTCCCTGGTAAGAGAAACATTCCGATCAATACAAACAGATTCATACTCTTGCTCTTGCATATATGTATTATGTTAGCGATACGCAACAATGTTCACTGTTGCACGATTGGGCAGGTCCGTCCGGGTAAGTACCACCAGCTCATAAAAGACCGGCGTAAAGTAGAAGTGTTACACATCTGCGTTTCGTCTGGTGAGTGAGGTAGCCGGGCCCACTTTACTTAAAGGTGGCAACGCATTTGAAACCCTAAGGGTTTTGCAAATATCTATGGGTGGTGGATATCACTTAACATCAGGTGAAACGCCAGCACGTTTGTCACTTTTTACATTAAAAAAAATGGCTAAGTTAAAAACCTTAGAACCGGAATAATTATTTGTGGTTCACACAGACACTTGTCTCATATGGAAATCGAAGCTATCACACACTTCGCAGTAGGCAATAGCGTAACAACTGCGACAAGTCATCACCAATTTCAATGTGGTACCACATCCTTCCTAATACACCAGCTTCAATTATCCGAGGGAAATGTAAATGTCTCCGAATTAACGATGTACAAAAATGCCGGAATCAAATTGGACACAAAACACTCTTACACGCAAGCAAGTTGCAATTCCAATAAGGTACACTTTGTCAGTTTTTTGTCCTATGATATTTTAAGTGCAAAAAAATTTATTTAAGTCTTACTAGACTTAAATAAATTTTATACTTTTTTTATAAAATATTTTATACGTTTTTTATAAAATATTTTATACTTTTATACTTAAAAGTCCTAGTTCAAGTCTTTCATACCTAATGAATATATTATAAAACCCATCTCGTCCAGTGGAAACAAGGCATAAATTATAAGTGATTGGATTACAATCCATTCATTCTCACCTTGATTGCAAAGCCCCTGGACCAATATTAGGTAGGCAAGTTTGGAAAACCGTAATCCTACCGCCGGTTGGTGCCTGAAAAGCAAAATAGTTTGAAAACATTAATAAATCTAAACAGGAAACATGAACAAATCTACTAAACAATCTGCAAATAAAAATCATCAAATATCTCACAGATTAAGAAAATATTTTTTTAATGCTGCTGGGCAAAGGTGGTCTGTACAGGGGGTAATTAGACCACAAGACCACACTTTTTTTGTAATTATTTCGAAAATATGCAGGTTCTTCACGTTTTCCATTACCGTGAAGCATCTAATAAGTCAGCGCTTAAAATTACCCATATATGCTTAACATACTATATTATATATAAACCCATAAAGGTTTAATATATTTATAATATTGGTACAAAATATTTTAAACCTTTATTTAACTGTGTTAGGGCCACGTAACAGCTTCAGCTATTCTACGACTAGGCAGGTCCGACGGTGAAGTACCACGACCGTACAGAAGAGCGGAAGTATTATTAAACCTCTGCATTTCGTCTCGTGATTGAGGTAGCCTGTACCCACTTTATTAAAAGGTGGCAACTCATATGCAACCCCACAAAGGTTGCAAATCGTTATGGGTGATGGTTATCACTTAACATCCAGCCATGCCAGCTCGCTTGCCACCTTCTCACATGGAAAAATAATTAAGAAGTACGCACCATAAGTTTGTACCCAGCCTGTAAAGCTGCTCCAAGCGCAGAAACTGGTACCCCGGGTGTTGAATACCTCTTGGGCAGCACCGTCAACAGTTCTCTGATCATATCTCGGCATTCGCCCAAATTCACCAGCAAAGACTCGGGCGAAGGTAGAAATACATCTGGAACGAAAGACAGAGTTTTGAATTCTACATAAAGATCAAGAATTATCTGCAACCCCTCAGGCGTTGTGGACACTTACACCTTTCGGGTAAACTGTTTTTTTGCTTGCCTGACATAAAAAAGGAAGGAAAACTCCGAGACGATTCCATAACGCACCTGACAAACCATTTGCATCGGCGTCGCGGTTCGTGGGTTCGATTTCCACACAGGAAAACTTGATGATTGTGTGACTCACAGATAATTTTTTCGGATCCGAGTGTTCGTCCACGCGAAATTTATGTTTGTAAAGTGTCCTTACATCACAGGACAATTTTATCCTATAGTATTTTTGTTACTTTCTCACTCACCAGATGAAACACAGAATATGACACTTCTTCTTCACGGCGCTCTTCTATGAGGTCATGGTACTCAATCGGACGGAGCTGCCCATTCGAGTAACAGCGAAGACCAGTGCGTGGCCCCACCACAGTCATGTGTCCCAAGCACGCCAAAAGAAGTATAACTTCAAACAAAAAAGAAATAGAATGTTCAGGGTACCATCTATATCCAGTACGGTCAGCTCCTTGGGGTGAGTAAGCCCTTCCGCCATCAGGTAGTAATGGACGTGCGCGTCGTAGCAGATGAAACCAAGCTGGGTGCGAGAATCGCCGGGCAGCTCATCGAGCTTTTCCTTCAGTGTGTCACACACCACCTGAAACCGGGTCATTGGAATCATCACCAAACCTGGCTATTAAATCTTTTCTTTTTCTTAATATCTTTTTTTTAACATTGCCCTTACTTTAGGATAATATTATCCTATGTTGTAAGAATGTTTTACAAACATAAATTTCACATGGACAAACATCCAGATATAAAACAACTGTCTATAAGACACACAAATAGTTCTCGCGTGTCAATCGTGTAGTTGTCGTTCAATTGTTGTCCCGTGGGAATCGTAGGTTCGATGACCCCCGGCGCAGAAACCAATACCTTGGCAACTGCGCCACTGAGTGACTTCAACTTGACTTCAAACTAAATCTTCAAACTAAACGTAAATCTTACTAATTTCTTATGTTTTTTCTATTTATTGTAAATATAGACAAGATGACTCCATTGTGCAGTTGTCCAAGGTGCATTGGCTTCGTCACCGTTAGTTGTAGGTTCGATTCCCACACGACACAACTATTTGTGTGACCCACAGATAATTGTTTCGCAACTGGGTGTTAGTCCACGTGAAACTTTTGTATGTAAAACGTCCTTACAATAGAAGATATTAACATCCTATACTACATAGTAGGATCAATGTTTTTTTTAACACAAAAAAAAAATCTGCCGATAGACACGTCACCTGCAGGTATCCAGAATCGCGGGCGATCTGGGACACATCGAAGAGGAACAGGTAGACGGCGGGCTGGGGGGGCCGCAGCATGTACTCGCCGGGGGCAATGAACTCTATCGTGGCGGACTTGATCTCCGGACGGCGGGTCGGCTCCCCGTACGACTTGCTCACTGGGTCGTATTGGAACTCCTCCGGCACTGGAACCATTTGTAGGCATACAAAAAAAAACTTTATGACTGCAACTTATATAATATCCGTTTGAAATAAGAGTAATTTGATGAAAGGCAGTTACTGCTTACTGATCCCATGTTACCCAAAGAACCTTCCTGTTCAGTATTAAGGCCATATGGCATAAAGTCGTACTAATGACACATATGAATATTGTTTATATTCATGTGTGTTATAAATATTGTTTATATTCAATAAGTAAAAACTTGCAATATTCTATTGAAGACTGAGGTGTCAACCTAGATTTTCTTCCAAATTACATAAATCTTACATTAAACTAAAACCGCAGTTTCCTACTGGTTCTTCTATAGTCTTGTTTATACTAGACCTGTCCAGGTCTACCACCGGTTGATCAGTGAAGTTTTTTGACGTCCATAAGAGCTTAAAATAAGCCTATATTGAATAAAGAAATTTGGACTTGGAAGTTGAATGTGAAAATCAGCAGGTTTGAATAAGCATAAACTCACAATCGTTGACACGGTAACAAAGGTTGCATTTCCAACGCTTGGCGTCCACAAAGTAAACAAATGGATTTATGTAGGTGCGGCAAGCGCGACAACGCACTATCGTCGTGCACTGGATGACAGGGAGGTGCTGCAAAGCAAAAAAACTTTAAGACACAAGAAATACTCAGTAGAAATAATACTTAGTTTGAAAGAAGTCCAAGGAAGTAAGAAACTACAATTGATTGTAAATGTAAACCTATCCATATGAAGGTAAGACTCCATGCTAAAGAGGTCTATACAAGCCTATATGTATAGACTCGTCATTGGAGGTAGTTCAAAATCCTAAAGGTTCGGGTTTTAACCGACATTTGCCCTCAACGTCAAAAATTTACTATAAAAATAATGATGAAACACTGGTTTATTTGAGATGCTGACGGTGATGATGTGTGGATGGCTTTGGGTGAACCGGTCATAATTTGTATGTAATCATGGTCATAATGTAAATCATGTTCTTAATGGTATTGGATAGATTTATTACGACCAGCCGCGTGTCTGTCTTCAACTCTCCTCGCGAGCAAACATGAAGATTTCAGAACAATCATTTGTGGGTCAGAAAAATATCCCATGTGGGAATGAACCACCAAGTCACTATATTGCTTGAAAACGCTGCATGTGTGTACAGGTAATGCACCGCATTATACCCCTACATACTACATGTAATGTGCAGTGCGCTGCCTATACAGTATACTTTATATAATGTAAAAACACATCTAAATTATTAAGAATAAACAGATATAACATTTTTTACTCACATTAAGATCCTTGAATGGATGAATTAGAATACCCAAGGGTAATCTGCACTTCTGTAGTAATGAATTATTCTCAGGTATGCGGTTTATCGTACATCGGAAGATACTGAAAAAAATGAAAAATTACTATATATTCACAAATCTTAAAGCATAAACAATGTTCTTGTTACTGCAATAACTAATAAAATTCAGACATTTCAAATGTGTACAAGAATCCAATTAATGGCATTTACTTATTGTGATAACATTATCATATAACTATAAATAACCATTTAGTGCACAACAAAGTCCTTTGTTTATGTCTACACAAACAATGGTAATTATAGATGGTGACACACTAAATATCAAAGTTCTCTTCATATAGTCAATAATTAATGTTTTTGTTTTTCACCAATTAAATTTTATTTCACTTTAAAATGTCTAATTGTTACTTGTTATTTATTATTATTTTTATACTAATATTATACAGAGAGAATAACACAGTTAAATACAAAAAAGCACATATAGCAATGCTTTGGCAAAATGCTTAACAACCTCCATATGGATAGCATTTCGATGAATTTAAAACTCTTAGTAGTAAAGGTGTATTAACCAAATTAAGTTTAATAATATGGAATGATAAAACTTGAAAATATAAATCACTTTAGCAGATATTGTTATTAATAAATGCTAAAATAACATACTAATTGTGATATCATAAAAACCATTTATATCCATTATCTTTTTACAATTAGGATTAATAAAAGCACATTTGTTTATTGAAAATGTTAATTAGGTTGTATTACCAACTAAACCACAAAATTTATATTTATACGCATATGAAGTTATTACTAGCCATATTAATAAGCTAAAACAAAACACATAATGGGTGTATTATTTGCTTCACCATATGGTAAACATAAAAAAAAAATATGAGGAACATGATGCATTGGAACTAAAACTGATAAATCACATATCACAATTAATAAGCAAAGAATAAGTCTTTTTTTCTTTTATGTTGTGAGTATTCGTGAACAAAACAAAGAATGCATCTAAATAAAAATAATTTTAATGTTGAAGATCAGTTAAAAAATGAACCTCATGTTTTTTAAAATAAATTTAATGTACCAGATTAGGCAATACAAAAGATATCAATTTATCAAGTACCTGACTGATAAAATTGTATTATAGACATAAAATTGGATGCAAACTGTAGCACCTGAATAAATATGTTTTTGTAGAAAATAATAGGTAAATTACGCTTTGACGTAGGTTAATGTATGTATATAAAAAGTTCAAAGTTTTAACAAGCACCATTAATCCAGGCAATTTTTTACCATTCACTTTCAAGAAGTATTGAATTTAGGAAACATCAATTAAAAAAAAATAATGGAACAAGTGTTATTGAATACCAAGGAACAATTGTACACAATCTGAATCTTTACATTACATCCACAATCACATCAAAGGTAACATGACAAACAATTTGTGTTTAGGCTACAGATGGAAAATTTTATTTTAATATCTTCTTTGTATTATGATAATAATGTCAGAAATATGCAATTTTATGACTTTATGGAAGTGAAAGATAAAATTTTTCTGTCCAGTGAACAAGGATGCTAAAATATTAAAGACTTTAAACTTACAAACTGATATGATAAAACCATAAAAAAATTATAATTTAATAATATGTAGTATTGACATGATTACATGAAATATTTATACACAACATCATTATTCTGTTTTTGTCCACTGCTGTAGGATATATAAACAATATAAATTATAAGTCATTTTGTTGTGACGTTGAGAAACACTCTCAACATTTAATTAAATAACTGTATTTTATTAACATCAAATGTTGAAATTGCTTGTTAAACAAACCAGTTGTCAGATAAAATACTTTCATTGAGGCTGTTGCGATAAATGTAGCACATTAGCCTGAATTTGAATATGACGGCTATTAGAAGGCCATTCTCAATCCTGGACAAAACTAACTTAAAAATTGTAATTTATGATAAGAAAATTAAATATTCATAGGCTGTTCTGACCAATCAAAAATTTATCAAGCAAAATTATATGGTAAATACTTTTAAAGACATATAAATGTAATAATTATTCCAAGCAACTTACAATTAACATCAATAAATTGAAATAATGTATATATATATAAAAATATAATATAAAAATATAAAAATACATATGTAAATATTAATTGATATGATATTTTGAAAGAATATTTAAAAAAAAACATGAGTACCATATTAATATTAGAATTATTTATATGAATGCAAAGTTGATCAAAAGAACAACCATTCAAACAATAATAAACAAAAATGTATTCTTTGTATGTTTAGCTTATTTACTGTAAATATTGATAAAAACTTACTCTGGACTGCAATTTGGTGCATCAGCAAACTGATGACCAAGCCTTATCTCTGGTGGATCCTCGGGGTATTCAGGCAGTATTTGTCTGCATTGTAGGAGGTCTATCATTTGGTGTCCCCAAAGCTGGTCGAAACCTTGTTTTGTTACACTCAATTGCCCCATTTGCTGAGTTACTCCTTGTGGACTATATGGTGAGGGATATTGTTTGCCAACCACTTGAGGGGCCATTTGTATTGGTTGCTGATTGGCATAACTGCTGGCAGCCATTTGTGGGTATCTACTCTGTATATTAGACTTAGGTGGCCCAGGGAATGGTCCACCTTGTGTGCCAATAGGTGCATTAGCTGATTGACCCATATGAGGCAAACTTTGAGGCTGTGGTGGTATTTGCCCTGTTGGTAAACTAGATGGTCCACTATAAGCATGTGCTGTCACAGGAGGTCCAACTGTTTGGCCAGGACCCATTGGACCATTATTTTGCAGACCCATAGGTTGTTGATTCTGGAGTTGAGGCCCTAAAGGTGGTTTCATAAATCCACTTACTGGAGGCAAAGATGTTGGCCCATAGGCAAGACCACCCCTTGGTCCTATATTCCTTGGTGGACCAATGGATTGGCCAGGTACATTTCCAATTGGTCCATTAATTCCAATTGGTCTTGGCGGACCCCCGGGTCCCATATTAGGGGCACTAGAGATAGGGGGACCACTCATGGAAGGACCAGGTATTACAGGACTGTTTCTCATAGGCACAGGTAATGGTGGCAAAGGATACTGAATATTTGGTTGACTAGTCAATGGTCCAGGTGGAATAGATGAAGGGGGAAACAGGGGCAGTGCACTATTTGAATTTACAACAGGTTTATTTACTACAGGATTGTAGGCACTTGTTGGTGTTCCTTGTTGAGTTAATGGCTGGCTCATTGGAGGAAGTGATGGAGGTCCATTCATCAATGGTTGATTAAATTGACTAGATGGTACAAGGGGTGGTGTATTGTCATTAATTTGATTCTGTGGTTGAGGTTTTGGATGATATGGTGAGGATCTTGAGCTAGGAATAGAATTAGGGTTAACTGCAGATACAGGAATGTTTTGAAAGTTTTGATTGGAAGTGGTGGTTAAAGTAGGTTGGATTGGTGGTCTTATAGGTGATGAGTTAATTCTAGAAATTGATTGTGGTGTTACTCCCGCTTGGTTGAAGGCAGGTGAGCTATTGGAGGAGCTTTGATTAAAATGGTTCATTTGGCCTTGGTTGGTAGGATTATTTAATCCTGGCACGGAACTGTTTGAATTTGCATCTTGCTTCAAAATCGATGGCTGGAGTGGAGGATTATATTGGCTTGAATACGGTGGCCCAGTATTTTTCGGTGGCACTCCCGATATATTGTTGTACGGACTTGGTTGTAAGTTTGACATGATTTGTCAATCTGAAAACGGTAAATATAGAACTTTGTTCAATCACACCATGTATAAATAAAATCTAATTGTCTTATACTATGTTTATTTTGTGATAAAATGATTCTTATCGACAAGGATTTTTAATTAATGCTAATTCACTGATGATGACAGTAGGACAAAACTTGCAAACAACTTACCGTATTTCAAATGGCGTTAGAACACATGAAATTTGAGGTATGCGATTTATGATGCTATAACATTCTCACATATTATTTTGAAAGGTGAAATTAACGTAATAAAATAACACAATGAAGTAAAATACGACCCTGACTTACGTGGCCGAGCGATTGAAAGCGCCCTCTGCTGGATCTAATAATTGATTTTTGACTTGATACGTCAAGCGCATGATGACGTTTATGAAGATGGTTTCAAAAATCTTGTGTAATGATACTACAGCATTTACATTAAAAATTAGCCCAGAATTATTTTGCTTAGTGAAATTATGAATTGATTTTTTATTAATAAGAAAAATGTATTTTTTGCGTTTCATAAATATATTTTGGATTTTAGCTTTTCATAAATATATGGAACTGATTGAAAACACCATTCGATAGACGTAGCAAGAAGAAAGCGACTGAAACTGTAAAGAAATAAAGCATTTTGTGTGTTTTTACCTTACTTTATGTCGATTCGATTTCCATTCTTTAATATTTTCAAGCAATTGTCGTTAACTTTGTATAGGTGCTCTCATCCCGGAGATAACATAGTTTTGGGCGCTCTAACCAAAAACTGTGTTACTATCTCCGCTATTCAAACTCCAGTTCGATAGTGGTACTCACCGCTTACCGCTAGCTACGTTCCGCCGCAAATGGCTAAGACCGCGACACGCCTTCGATTTCCCTGATGATGGGACGACTATCGCCATTCTTCCGCCACTTTTTCTCTCGGCGCCAAGGCTTTCCGAAGTGGTAGTAATGGTAGCTATAGACATTTTCTTAGTCAGCTACCGATCGGCCCTCTCACGCAACTTGGAATCGGAATGCATCTAGTCTTGTTTTTATAGAGAAAAGGGGCAAACGAGCAGGAGGCTCTCCTGATGGTAAGTGATTACCACCGCCCATGAACACCTGCAACGCTTAAGGACTTCCAAATGCGTTGCCGGCCTTTTAGGAAAGAGTATGTTGTCGTTTTCAAGGTTCCCAGGTCGTAACGGTGCGGAAATACTGCCGGCGGCAGCTAATTCCACAGAGTTGTTATGTGAGGCAGGAAATGCCTTGAAAATTGCGCTGTTGTGAAACGCTGGACATTGAGGTAGCGTGGATGAAATTTTTGGTTTTGGCGCGATGTCCGATGGTGAAATTCAGCCGCCGGGATCAAACCAAACAATTCCCCAGAACACTTCCCGTGATAAATGCGGTAGAAGATGCAGAGTGATCCCACATCTATACGAAGAGCCAAAGGATCAAGCTGATCGGAAAGAATCTAATCATCGATAACCCTAGCCGCCCTACGTTGAATGAAAATATTACAGTCAGTCATTGGGTAACAGCCTAAGCCGAGGTCAACTCTTAAGGGTTATTGAGCCTAGTTATTGCATGGAGCGTCCGCCAAAGCGACTTAAGAGCTTTGTGGCCTCTCAAACTGGTGATAATAAAAATAAAGTGACGGCCCTAGCTGGGGCTGGGGAGCCCTTGAACTTAGTTACCCATAAACGAGGTTCAGACTAGGCGCCCTCACCACGGCCATCTCAAGCCCGTTTTATCTGTAACCATGCCAAAAGTGGGTGATCTATAATAAAAATAAGCGTAACGCGTTTTCGGATCATTGTTGTCGTATAAAGCATTCAGTTACCCCTTAGAGCACCTAAAGAAGTTTTCCTTGAAAATAAGGAAACGAAGGCTTTGGATTATCCGATATGTACTGATTATTCTATATTTTTAAGTAGAAGGTAGAAGGAAGTTCTTCCAATATTTTACCTTCTTGTACATTTTTGAACTTGTAAGTCTTTTCAGTTCGTTCGTGTTTCACAAATATTGCCTACCCACGTTGAGAAAGGTAGCTTTATTCGATATCACATAAGTAAAAATCCTTCTGGGTCCTAGATTCTTAATAATGATTAGCTTTATTTGACACACAATAATGTAAATAGAATTAATACAAAAAAAAAATGGATTCGTCGAATTCGAAGATGCATCTTCCGGGATACGCACGCAAACGCTCTAGCGTTGTCGCTTTTGCTTATAATATTTAATTTTTATTTTTGTGGTAGTTTAGTAAGTGCAAGAATATACACTTAAGACGAAACATAAAAATTAGGATTCCAAACTTCACTTTATGGGTTAAATTCAGATCAACGTATCTTCTCCTTCTCTTAGAATTTCAGATAGTTCTAGAACTATCTAGATTTGTCTAGACAGATCACTTAATTGAACGAGATTCGCTTGTTTCAAGCTGGCCTTTGCTATTAGAAATTTAAATTTTCAAAAGTAAATATGCTTTATTGTAAACCAAGAGACAAACAGTATTTATAATTACAAGACACATGGGTCCAACCCAACAGGTGGCCTTATAGTAGTCCAACAGCGATCTATCTATCTATCATCAAGGGGTGTAGGTTTTCACAAGAGGTTATTATCATTAATGTATTCATTTATATTATAATAACCTTTTTTTAAAAGTTTTTCTTTAATAAATTATTTAAACCTGTTAATAGACAAGCTTTGCGCATTAAATGGGATTTTGAAGCTTAGACATCGTCCCATGAACGCGATTAATGTTTCTATGTAAATAAATTACATATTCATATACGACGTAACGACTCGCTGTATATATATATCTATAGATATTGAGAGGCCAAGGTAAAACTCTTTGCATCAAGAGTAATTCGTATCGTATCCACGGCCTGACTGCTCCCCATTTATAAACCAAGCGTTTGACATTAACGCCCGGTTTCTGAAAAACTGATCATCGTAGATGTCAACTAATCAGCTGTCAAACTTTACTTCTAAATTGTAAAATTACATACATTTGACAGCTGATTAGATGACATCTACGATAATCACGCCCGGTTTCTGAAACACTGATCAACGTAGATGTGATTAGGGCCAATAACATTATACCATCTAGCAAAATAAAAAAACAAGATATGTTTAAATAGTCTGAGTAAAGTAATGTCTAAAGGAAACAGTTGATTTTTCAAAAAACTTTATTTCATAATAAGACGCCTCATTTTTGTCAACCTTCCCATAATCCATATTGATTATCCATTCTTTGTCAGCACTCTTTGCTTTCATCACACTCAAAATTGCTAGATTTACTTTGTCTCAATACGGTGCCTCTGAATCTGAAGTTATTAATTCGCAAAAATACTTCCAACTATTTTCATTAAACGCACATTAGTTTACGGATGTAAACTATACGGACAGTTCATACATTATATTATCGCAAATGTAATAGTTTTTAACTTATGGCATAATTATAAGTACTCGGAAGCATTAAGTAACTTTCCAATTAAATGTCCCCGAAAGAGTAAGTACTATAACAGTTATATAGATAAAATATGATGCAAAAACATAATACATCAGAAGTCCATCTATTTATTTTAAATTATGTTCATTTCATACCTATCGAATCTACTTATCTGTTTAGAAGAATTATCCAAAAATTAAGGTTAGTACACAACCGTAAATATTAATGTAAAAGAACAGTAAGGAATTTGTATTATAAAATAACAAAGCAATAATAATACTGATACTAAATTGCCAAATTAAGAGGGGTTCAGGATTTGCAAAGTATGAACATTAACTACGCCACATCATTGTGTCTACTGTATATCTATTTTATAATATATTATCTGTAGTTTTAGTAACAAGCAATTTCCGTCCGATAAAAACAAAATTTGCACACACATCGGGCATTTTTAAACATCGGTTTTGTTTCTCATCTTACTACTGATAAAGCAACCATGATGATCCAGGAATTTTTTTATACATATACAACATACACCTGTAACCCAAACAAATAGGCAAAGATATTAAATAAATCCAAAAATTATTAAACTATGCATTCGACACATGCGTGGCGACGTTGAATGCCTGTGGAGGTTAAATACTTTTATAGGATTAGAAGACATAGAGAAACAAGGTTTTAAAAATTCAAACATTTGTATTTCAATGACAGTTTAAATCAATGATTTAGTCGATAAACAAAATTTTAACAAAGTACCGCGTAACTTTAGAGTCGATTGGATTAAGCCACCAGGGGAGGGATTACAAAAATGTTATAAAATTTATATAATTACATTAATTGAAAAAATATAAAATTTGTGAAAATAGAAACTATAACGGCCCAACGGTGGTGGCACTGCGCGAATCCCTTCTCCAATCAAAGATTATCGCAGGATTACATTCTAGCAGGTCTACTCTTAACATTATCTCAACTATTCATTCTTTCAGCAATATAAAAGTATTCAAACTGATCACAATTCTATGGCAGCTCCATGGCAACACCATGCAACACTTAACCAACATTTCAGGTAACAAATATATGACATTTCATTTCAATCAGTTCCAAGTGCCTTACGACGTTATACAATAAAAAACGAATTAAATTCTGTTTCTTAATAATCAAAAGCGTAACGTAACTTAGATCTTTACATTCTACTGTGCATGTGTACAAATTTCAAAGCTTTTCAATCTCACAAAAATGTAAGATCCAAAAACTTTCAAAGTGACATATGCACACAACTGTATACAAAGCTAGTAGAGAACCTTTCTCGGCCCAAATGTCACATACTGCCACCGACTCTCATATAAAACTTAGCTCGATTCAATCTTAATTAATGAGATGTTGTTTTTTCCATTGTTGGTAAAAAATGCAAAAACAATCACATAACAGACTAGTATCCGAACACGCTATCGAAAGTAACAATTTTTTATTTTTTTATTTTCTCATCGTTTTTATTGCAAAGGATAGGCCACGAACGGAAGGCGATCACACAGTAAGCTCATTCCAAAATAGCGGATTTCATAAATCCCGGGGAAAACAAAAAAAAAATAAAGAAAAATCAAATGTAATCCGAATATAATGTAGATCGGCTCAACTATGTTCATATAATACGATTTTATAGACCAACGTCGGTCCCCGACGGCAGTCGACCGCCTCAACAAACTCACAAATACTCTCTACACATTGATAAAAACTATTCAGTCGTTTTTATTTATCCATAAAAATATATCTTTAAAAGGCTCAAATAAAACTGTTACAGCTCTAAGTACCGTTCACAGTAAGAATCGCGATCGGACGTGTATCACTGGAGGTAAATTGTCGGTTGGCACAGAGTCGCAGTCGACGACTGTCTCATTGCCACTGTTCGAAGGAGCAAAAGCCTTCGGTCGCTCGCACTGGTAGCTGGGGATCGCGGCCCTCTAAATACACTCTTTAAATATATATTTCTATTATAATTTTTTTATTTTTTTTTCATAGGCAAAGATCACACAAGGCACTGTACCGCTTTAAAACAATTCAAAGATCTCTTATATAAAAAAAGTTTTAGAGGTAATTTCTAGTTGTACTCTTCAAGTGTGTGTATATAATAAAACGAATGGCGCGCCGTGTGTGATATTAGCATTTTTTTTTCAACGTCGACCGGCGATCCGAGCGGCCGTTGCGAGCGACGAAACCCAGTGGGTGTCTTCACAACGCGGTGGGTGGAAACATTGTACTGCGGCGCTCGGTGGAATGTGACGGAACCCAAAAACACCAGGGAAGAAATCACACGCTTGTTGTACACAAGTCTGTCCGTCCGTCGCCCGCGTGTATCTTTCAGCCACGGTGGAGGCCGACGAAGCACTACCGCACAATAATGACTGACGCATATCGGCGGGTGTCTTTAACGCACCAGTATCATACTACCAAATACATTCCGGTCCTCGTATCTGCGACCGTCGCCACATAGAAGCCGAATCCGGGGGGCTTACAGCTACAAAGTATATCTATAGACAATGTGCTACTCATTACAGGTCTCACTCGAAATCGTTCTGCTTACGAACCGCTATAGATAATAGAACTATCTCTTCGGATATGCGTTGCTGGGTGTATTCGTAATGCAGCATCTTCATGCATGGCTGGTGGTAGGGTTGTCGGGGGTTGAATGGTAGACGACACGGGCGTTCAATTAATGCACTTGCACGGACTTCTCGGTCGGCTGCTGCAGGCGGCGGCGGAGAAGCTGGGACTCGGTGGGCGGGGACAGTCCCAACGGTGGGCAGTACTCCTCCGCCGCGCACATCCTCTGCAGGGCCACGCCCGCCCTCTCCAGCTCGTCCTCGATAATGTCCGGGCTCGGGTGGCACGACTTGCTGGAGCGCAGCGCGGCGGTCGGCCGCTCCATGTACGAGTAGTTCATGGAGAAGTGCTGCTGGATCACTCTGTTCACCGCCATGGCGGACTCCGCGAAGTTGGACAAGTTGCGCGCCGACATGTTACTGTGGGGACGAACATGTTCCATTAAAATTAGCAGAATACAAACAGGCAAAGTGTTCTACTTTAAGTGATGGAGGCGTGCTTTATCAGCCTTCAAGAGGTCTGGTAATTACACCAAAGTATAAATTGTTTTAATGTACAATTGTACACCCATCCTTTGTGAAGTTGAGGTGCATTTAATAGAAACCACTAAATGGCTCTACCACAGAAATACTAAACATGAACATCAATAACTATTAATATTATGAACTTTGTCTGGCACTGGTGAGCTATCAAAATAACTAAAGCGACATGGTTTAGCATTGACAACTTGTAACATTAGACACGATAACAATCAATGTTGGCATGCTTGGCGCGGCCAGGAGTCCACCACTTGAATATTTAGGACAAAGGGGCGCATTGGGATGGCTCCATAGCGCAGATGCCAAGGTATTGGGTTCGACGCCGAGGTTCATGGATTCGATTCTACACGAGACAACTATTTGTTTGACCCACAGATGTTCCAGAACCGGGTGTTTGTTCATGTTAAATTTATGTATGTAAAAAAACATCCTTACAGACAATGTTCGCCCACAGTAAGGGGAGAACGATTTCGAAGGGACAACTAAAATAGATCTTCTGGGTCTCAGCGGTCATTGCGACTTAAATAAAAATTGCAAGGGTTGCACTCACCGCTGCATGTTGCGCGGCGTGTGCAGGGGCGCCGCAGCGCAGTCGGCGGGGTCCGCCCGCCGCAGCCAGGGGTGCTGCAGCACGCGCTCGGCGCTGAGGCGGTGCGACGCCTCGCGCACGAGCAGCTGCCCGATCAGCTCCTTCGCCTCCCACGAGATGTTCGCCCACTCCTCCTCGGGGAACGTGTAGCGGCCCTCCTGGAAGCGGAAGCGGTGTAAGCTCACGGAACGACAACCAGACATAAGCCCTGAGACAATCCAGTTAACTGTCGCGTAATCATTGGAATTTGTTTGTTTATTGAACAACTAAAAACACACACTGAAAATGATTACAACAAGAGAATTAAAATTGGAACATTTGGAATGATAATCATGGACGTAAACTTATTTGTGACAATAAATAAAACACAATTTTTATATTTCATCCAGTTTTCTTATACATTACTGTGCATGTGTGTGTTTATCTGTGTGTATATAAATTGTGGTAAGGCCACGCAAGTCTTCGCTGTTACAAATGAGGGTCCGCGTGAAGACCGTGAAGTGCAAGTGTTATACTTCTGCGTGTCGTCTGTTGCGAGTAGTAATCGAGGGCCACTTTATTAAAATATCTGCATCTGCAAATCTATCACTAAACACCAGGTGAACCGGCCAGCTCGCTTTCCACCGTCTTACATAAAAAAAATATATTGCAAGGGGGCAAAGGTACCTGTATGGTGGTGAAGAGCAGCTCCTGGCAGGCGCGGCAGTTCTCGCCACGCTCCCAGCCGCAGTCGTTGCCGCAGTCGGCGCGGAAGGGCGGGTAGCCGCAGAGCAAGATGTAGGCGATCACACCGAGCGACCACAGGTCGCAGCGCTTGTCGTAGTGGGTCGCCGCAGAGCCGGCGAACAGGGACACCACTTCGGGCGCCATGAATTCAGCGCTGCCAACCTGTGTTGAGCAACGGCGAAGAGAAAATTATTGTTGGGGCCATAGGGGAGGGAGGCAGCGTATCACGTGCTCCGCGGCAATAATAACAAAAAAAATATATTTCGAAGATATGCGAAGTCCACCAATCTACTGAGTACACTTTGGCCTGATACCAGAGGGTATAGAGGAGGCTTTGCTCAGCAGTGGGACACGTATAGGCTGTTATTACGGTGTTGTAACTTAATGCAACCTCATTACCAACTAGTTTTACCAAACAAACCAAGTGCTGAAGTTTATGAATATTTAATGAAGTAATATTTTAGTATGGTTCTATAAAGAGTGTGGTACTACTTTTTTACACGAATCAAACTATTTAGCGGTTATGGAATTTAGTAACAAATTTAATGGCAAAACAGCCTCTTTTGTTCAAAAATTTATTTGTTTAGCAATGTGTTTAACTGGCCTTGGACCAGGAGAAGGATATTTACAGAACAATAGGAGTGGGCTTTCAAAGCTGTAACACGCTTTTACCACCAGCTCTTAGTTATATTAGTGTTGACCTTAGTTTGTTTTTATATTTCCCATTTTCCAGAGATAAAGTACCAAACAGTATCGGGTTTAGCTTTTTTGCCTTGCGTTAAATTGTGTGGGGATCATTGCTGCACTCACCGGCGTCATTAGCTGTGGCGTGGCCAGCGGGCTGGCCAAGCTCGACGTGAAGCTAATACCGCTGCCCAAATCGAAGTCGCATATCTTCACGGGGCAGAGGCGGTCGCGGTGCACGCACAGGATGTTCTCCGGCTTCAAGTCGCGGTGGGCCACGCCCTTGCCGTGGAGGAAGTGGAGCGCGTTGGCTAGCTCGCGAACGATCTCCGCCGCCTGCGGCTCCGAGAAGTAGTGGTGCTCTTGTATGCGGGACAGGAGCTGGCCGCCGTTGATCTGAGGAACGATGTTTAAAGGTGATGTAAAAGTAAAATAACAGCCTATACATGTTCCACTGATGGGCAAAGGCCTCCTCTATACAGAGGGTATCAGGGCATAGTCCACCACGAGGCCCCACAGCTGATTGGCGGACTTCACATATCTTCGAAATAATATTTTTGTTGTTATTTCGAAAATATGCAGGTTTCCTCACGATGTTTTCCTTCACCGCGGAGCACGTGATAAATCGCCACTTAAGTTAAAAATACATCGGTGCCGGCACCGGGGATAGAATTCAGGTTGCTCGAGTGTATTGAATTAAAGGCGAGCGCCCGGACACTGAGCTATCACGGCTCTACTGAACTATCACGGCTATAAAGGTGATGCGATGATAATAATTGAGTTACGCTGTGCTCTGGAAAGGTTATGTAATTGTGTTAGGCTGTGCTCGGGGAAGGGATTGTTTAACTGTGTTGTTGGTAATTAGTTTTATTGGTAGATTGTGGCGCGAGTTCCGATTTCAATTCCCGAGAGTTTTCGAAGTTATACTTTTTCACGTTTAAGAAAAATATGAGAGAAGAGTGATTACGATGAACGTTTCCGGTAACATTTGCTATGTTTTCACCATTAAATACATTAAAAGTTGATTATTTCGTAATACAAAATAAGCGTAATACAACTCCCTTAAAGAAACAAGAGCTAGCTGTATCAACCTAAATGGTCATAACAACTTGTCCGCCGAAGGTTGTCGACGCCTTTATCCAAATACGTTTCCGAGGTCAATATAATAAACTCACTTTCGGAACTAGCCTAGTCATAGTTGACTAAGGTTAAATTGTTGTTTTCAAATTTCTACGCGAATGTAAAAAAGACACTTTTGATGAGTCGATTGACAACAAAAATTGACATGGACACATTGGGCATTTTTATTCCTTAACTACCCGCTTTACAAATAATAATTACAGTTTGATCTCTTCCTGTGGGAATCAAACCCGCATCCCTATGCGCACAAGCCAAGAAACCGTTCAGCCTACTGGGCTAATGCTGTCACCTTGAAAATAATTATCTATACAGCAATGCCCTCGACATGACATGACTAATATTTGCAGACGTTTGTTTACATCGTATCGAGGCAAATATGTGGAACATTACCTAAACAATGCATCGTTACCATGTTGCAGAGCGAGAGATAATAGGTAGGTACATGTATTATTGAATAACTAGAGATACCTATCTACCTAAACAAACTATGTGCTTCCATCGCGGCTACTGGTCGATATATATTTTTGCAATCACGCGGCCGATCGATTGAAATGATAACGATAATGTATCCAAGATAAAAGAGAGACATCAGAGAAATATCTAGATAATGACACATGATTAAAGAACAATGCCCACTTCCCATACATTTAAAAAACTGATAATGAAAGTGTATGTATAGTTACAAGGTATAGCAGAAAGACTACCTTTAAGTTAGTAAATTAATATCATAGTCATTTTTACGATTGCTGGTCTACGAAGTCCAAAAATTATAAAAAAATGTTACTTTTTAGGTTAGGATTTGCAGTTACCTAATATAACGAAATAAATGTGCTAGAACTAACTATTTACGCTCAAGTTTATTCTAAAATAATAATATTAGCCTATCTAGTCTATAACGTCTTTTTTACTTGTGAATTCCTAAAAACCGACTGCCCTTACGTCACTGCTTAGACTCGATTATTGTCACTATAAATTGAGTGAAGAGCATTATCTGCTATTTCAACAGCTCACATAAGTACTTACTAAAAAACGTAAAAGTGATCATTTATCTGCCCTACACATTTCATTGGCCTGCACTACAATACATAATAATCGATAATTATAATACCTGATGAATAAAACGAGGGAAAAAATAAAACACTATGTTACAGTGGAATGCTTTATTAGCCTGTGAACACACGTCTGACGCTACTTGCCAATAATCACAAAAAAAAAAAAATTTAAAAAGTTATCCTCTATATGTATGTGCGTTTATTGTCGCGTTGGTAACGAAACGCTGTATATTTATCATTTGCTTTACAAATTCTTTCGCTAGACACAATGAGGAAAATTGATACAAGTGTCCTATGGTGCCAATCATTATTAGTTAATTTATCATGTCCCAACCGCTATAAAAAGGTCTTAAAACTTCTAGAAAAGGTAATGAATTTTTTAAAGTTATAATAAATTTAGCTGTATATAATCGTTTGTGGCATATAAACAACCGCATATGTTTTAGATACGAACTTAGTGTACATTATAAAAGAACAATAAAAGTAATTTAACTGACTGCAATTCATATGTATATGTAGTATAATAAAAAAGGAGATAAGCTTTCAAAACAACGAACTATTATGTTAATTTATTTTAGACCACGTCATTTTCGAATACAAGCATAGTATGAATGAGCGTTATTTGATATTTAACAGCTCTAGAATATTCCAATGCCGTAACATATGTTGCATATTAACTAGATTTTCTCTCTTTATCTCTGTTAATGAATATTTACAAGACGGTATGTGTTGTGCCTTCTCAATGCATGTGTATGTAATGGCAATAAAAAACAAATACATAATGTATTGGTAAGCATAAAGTGGTAAAAAATTAAAAGCAGATTGAGCGTGGTTTTTTCGACATAAAATAATACATTTTTACGTGACTTAATGAGACCATCATGTATTATATGTGTCGTCTGACATTTATTACATTACCATATATCATTTAAAAATAAATTCTTATTTTGCCATTACTTGGATGAACGGAAGCATGGTGAGTTTAAAATACAGAAAAATTGGCTACAACTTGGATTACAACAATTATTATTATTGCATTGTGCGTCTAATATAAATACAAAAGTACCTTACCGAATCCTTAAGAAGGGAAAATATCGTCACTTAATACACATCGAAAGTGCATTTACTCGTATTAGGGTATTTCACTATCAACATTTCGTTTCAGTAAACGTGACCGATTAGTTAAAGCCACTGGTTCTTCTTACTTTTATGATAGACTAGCGGCCCGCCCCGGCTTCGCACGGGTATTTAACAAAACTACCAATTAACAAATTACTAAAAATTATCAAACACATAAAATATTCCGAATATTTCGTCTTTGGTGAATAATTTTATGAATTTCTTCAACTTTTAATGAATACCCTTGAAATTACGTCATGAAGATCGAAAGACCGCTGACCAGATAATGGTTCCGCTTTAATTACGGGACATTCGGGGTTACACGTAAAAGTGACAAATAAGTCTGGTCTCCCATAGCTTCGGACATAAATCATTCCCATCTTTGGTTTGTTGACCGATATTTAATGAGCCAATTTCTTAAAGATGGCAACTCATTTGCAACCCTACAGGTGTTACAAATGTCCATTGGGCGGCGGTTATTACTTAACATCAGGTGAACCGCCAGCTCGTTTGCCACTCTATCACATTAAAAAAAATCATGTTTTATTATCTTTATGCAATATAGAAGTATTACATTTACATATTGTCAAAAACACTACTACTGTCAACATTATCTATAAAAACGGCCAAAAAAATTATGTCTGTTTTATGGGAGCCCCACTTATTTATATTCTTTTGTTTTTTGGTATTTTTTGTTATAGCGGCAACAGAAATTCATCGTTGGTGAAAATTTCAACTGTCTAACTATCACGATTCATGAGATACAGCCTGGTGACATATGAACAGACATACGGACATACAGACGGACATCGGAGTCTTAGTAATAGGGTGCCGTTTTACCCTTTGGGTACGGAACCCTGATAAGTCCCAGTAATAATGCAATGGCTTAAAACAGGAAGCTTTAACCATCAACCTAAATGCATACAATTGCATGCATGTCATAGCTTTGTTACGCACAGTACCTTGCTGAGGAATAGTCAAATATTAACCGTCTTCTCCTATTACGACTATTAAGGGATATTTTTATGGATCATACAATCGGTGTAACTCAGAGACCCTTTTAAGTTGTGGCCGAGTCTACCGTGCAACACTATATCTCTGCAGCCTTTTTAGGATGCTGTACCCAAAGGGTAAAACGGGACCCTATTACTAAGACTCCGCTGTCTGTTTGTCCCTTTGTCAACAGGCTGTATCTCATGAACCATGATAGTTACACAGTTGAAATTTGATCTGGGTATTTCTTTCCCAAGGAGGGTTGACGTCAAGCAGGCGGGTGGTTGTAAAAATATAGGCAAAACCACTTACAACATGATTCATGTTGTGCCGACCCCACCTAGGTGGGATAGGGGCAGGAGGATGATAATAACTTGTATACTTATCCCTCTATTTTAAAAGTTCGCGGCAAACGAAGTCATTTGAAAGAGGCAATTGTACTTTCGGATGTTGGTTAAAAATGTCCTGATGGTGAATGATTATATGTAAAAAGATTTATTGGTTGTGGCGGCTCCTCAATATAGGGGGGACTAACTTTTCCAGAGGCACAGCACATACCATTTGGTTCATCGACCCATTTTTGGCAGAACGTGGCACTTAGAGCAGATCTTATTCGTGGCTACGATTTGGAAATAAATTGCGCGCAATAATTTGAAGACTCTTGAGCGAAATGCATGAAAGCCGATCTGTTACTGTGAGCTAAAACTCGATCACGAACTCTAGTCGTTGACGTTTGTTATCTTTCTCTCTAATCTCGTATACGTTGGGAACGCTCAGACCTCGATTCCCTAGTGTGAATTTGTATATTTATATTATTATACTCTTCAAGCCACTGCAAACACTCTATTTGACTCTCTCCGACTTGTAAGACGATATTCTGTTTCCGGTAAATATTCCTCATTATGACGTATATTTAATGTCCGCGCCTGGGAACTATTTCTAGAAAGATGAGATCTTGATCTTTTGGGCGTTTTAAAATGATAAAAAAATTAAACTTCCTCAGTATTTAATAATCTGCTAACTGTTGAACAGGAATTACCAGTATAAATGTGATTGAAAACTTATAAGAACTACTAAGTCAGTCACTAAGCTGTTTGGATAGTTAAATTACAATATACTAACATTTTTAAACTTGCATATTGCAAAGGAATGGAATGTCCGAATTTAATAATTCAAAAAGTTTTATAAAGATATTGAAACAGTCTTAAATATGAAATAATTTATTTTTATAAGGATTAATACCGATATACAAATAAACAGCCTTTGTTAGCGGCGGCATTTCAATCAAAATTTTAAAATAAAACAACACTTATTGTGGCATAACTATAATAGTTAGACATATGCTGTCGCGACACTTTTTGTAAATAATGATGTGGTCTGCAAAGTCATTACTTTATTTTACATTCAGTAGTACATTACTTTATTCTATCATCAATAGTTTTCGCAGCGCACGCGATGTAAAGAATATTTTAGGTAATTTTTGTACACCTTGAGTAACATTATTGGAGTTTTAGTAAGGATCCCTAATTTTTTGAAAATAGTATATAGCCTATGTCAAGCAGGGATAACGTAGCTTCTCAACAGTGAAAGAATTTTCCAAATCGGTTAAGTAGTTTCGGAGCCTATTCGATACATACAAACAATCAAATCTTTCCTCTTTATATAATAGATGACAAGCGATCAGGCATTTGACCCGATATGAAGTGATAACCGACGCCCATAGTCATGTCATGGACAAACAACACTAGTAGTGTTGCAGATGCGTTGCCACCTCTTAATAAAGTGGGCCATCTCTCAGTTCACGCAGGTCTGTGAGGCCGTGGTACTACCCCGGACGGACCTCCCCATGCGTGCTAACACGAAGACTGTCGCGTGTCCCTACCACAGTTGATATAAGTGCAACTAGACGACGGTTGGATTGGTTCACTGACCTTTTCAAAGACAAGATAGAACTTGTCGGTGTCCTCGAAGAATTCAATGAGCTGGATTATGTTGGGGTGTCCCTGGCAGTAGTGGAATGTCTCCACCTCGCGGAACACCCTCGCACGGGCGTGTCCCGGCACCTTGTCTATGATCTTCACCGCAAACTCCCGCCCAGTGTAGATGTTCACGCACGTCTGCACGGACGCGTAAGCGCCCTCGCCCAACACCTCGCCCGTCAGCTTGTAAAGGTCTGTTGGACAGAGACACGCCTCAACTCAACATCAAACAATCTGTCCACACAGTAGTGTAACAACAACAGACTATTTCACTTTCAGTCTTGTATTCAAAACCTATGAACGTCAAACTCTACCAATGTTTCACTAAGTTAAGGCGTTTGCGAAGAAGAATGGGAATAAGTTAAGAGTTTCATTTTATTTACTTAATTTTTGCTCAAACAAGTTCATTTTAACGAAAAACAATACAGATTTCAAATATCTTGCTCTGTATTCATTTTGTAATTGATTATCAGGAGTTCCCTGAAGTGTCTCCGGAGCCACACGGCAGCCAATACAAAAAGAAATACTAAAATCGGTTCATTAATGACGTAGTTCTGAGGAATAAAACATAAAAAAATACAAACGAATTGAGAACCTCCTCCTTTTTTAAGTCTGTTGAAAATGAGTGTCATATCATTGTCAAAATTAGCAGCAGCCATTAATCGACCTACATGGTTCCAACGTTAATTGAGACATGATTTATTGCACTGTTTTAGCTAAAAAAGTAAGAATACTTTAAACAATCTATTTGAAACAACACTATATATATAGAAAACTATATATACATGGTACACTATATATAGAAAACATCCACTATATATGGAAAACTATACACATGTTTAGTCTTTTATATCATAAGTAAATTACAAGAGATCGGTAAATTGAGTAGTTGGTGCTCTGCCAAATCAGAAACCAGAATGTACATACATACTTTAGGCATGCCAACTGGACAATTTGAAGAGCTATTTCAGCTTTCGTATTTAAGACCGCCTACCTGCCAACACCATACACGAGACACTACTTGGGAAGTTATCAATAAAGTTCCTTCTTACATTTATTCCGTACTAATTCATAGATTAATTTCATAATGTCACCTTCAGTGCACCGTGGGGATTGGACTATATAACTGTACAATAAGAATTTAATAAACATTATTGCTACTATAAGAGTGAACACATTCATTTGAATATTTAACGATTTTGTGTACTTTTTCAGTAAAGGTGCAACCCTCGACCGACCGGCCTTGGACAATAGCGCCCCAATTCATATTATTATTATATATAGAGCGTATAAATAGTTCTTAGGGAGCACTTAACAATGGTGGATTTATGTTAAACAATACATAACTTCAATGACCAATGTATACATAAAAAAGAGCTGTCCGAGCAATCTACAATATCGGAGCCCAGAATTCACTTAGAGATCTTTTCAAAGAGGTTAATTATACTCACTGTTGCTTGTCAATACATTTATTGTAATGTTTTGTATATACGTCATAACCTTAATTATTACCTAAAGAATAGTGACAGACATAAAATAAACACTAGAAATAAGGACAAACTTACTACGCCATTGTTTCGTCTACAAAAAGTAAATAAGTCGTTCATGGGGCAAAGTGTGCGCATGTATAATAAAATCCCACAGTCGATATTAAGTCTGCCGCTTGACCAATTTAAATGTAAAATTAAAAATCAACTGATGATTAAAGCATATTATACCATTTCGGAATATCTCGACGACGCCAATGTGTGGAGTTAATACTGTTGATACTCACGTAGGCTAGAATAAGACTATTATACCTGTATATTATATTGTACCCTGATATTTTTGAAAAAGAGCAACAGTTGAGTTTCTTGCCGGTCTCTTCTCAACAGAAACCGCTTTCCGAACCGGTGGTACCTTACGAACCTATACACATAATCTTTGATGTAAAATTTGACGATTCATAAGAGCGCGCAAGCGTCTATTTGAATAAATATATTTTTGATTTTGATTTTTGATACCTTTAGTTCCAGTGCATTTATTATTCTACCAGTATTATTCTACATAATACACGGTTATTTTGAAATAGTTCTTTTTTTTTTTCATTGTTTTTTTGTACTTCAATTGATTTCAATGGGCAATATGATGAAAGATCATGTCACTTTTACATAAAAAGTACATTTTGTACCTAAGTAATTTCTTCACTAATCATCGTTCCTCCATCAGATGACGGACAACAACAGATAAATTACAAAGAAAAACTGCATTAAAGCGGCATAAGACGATTATTAAAGAGTTTAAAATTCTTTTTTTATTGGGTTTGGTTTGGCTTCCATATTATTTTCATTGGACCTTGGATTTCTGGCCGGACTTACTTCGGGGAACTCCACAAAATCAAATAGAAAATGTATAGTTAGTGAGAAGTTTAAAGTTGGTTTTGTTGTTTTTAATAAAAAGGTACTTGTTAAAGATATAAGCAATGATAGATAGTGGTCAATGTTGTTGTATATTCGAAAAGGCACTAATTATACCTGCGTGACGTGTAGAAAGAATTCTAATTCCTAAAACAGTCTAGAAGCCCTACAGAATTAAGTATTCATTGTCTGCGCCGCCAATCAGCTTACGCAATCCTCTATTAGCAGACACACGACATTTCGTAACATTTTGGTGGCTTTTAGTTTAATATTTACTTACCCCCATGCCATGTCAATTCAAACAGTACGACGTTACACAAACTGTTCAGAAAAATGATCAAACAACTCGAAAACGAACGATAGTACTGATCTTATACAAATGTTGTATTCTATTGGTGACTATAGTTAAAATCAGAGAAGTATTATGTACAAAATAAAAAAAACAATGCTATACTTGTAAGGAAAATATTTAAGTAGGTACTGTTGTATGATAAATAATTTCAATATTCGAGGTAAATAAACATAGATAGGAAGCGTGAATGATAAACAGCCTAGATATTTTATCAAGATGTCACAGATTAGGCATCGGTACAATTTCATAGACTCGCGATGACTTCATGCAACCATATAAGCTCAGACTTGGTAGACAGTCTGACCAAATTTATTCGGAGAGAACAGGTCTCGAGTTTTTTTTTTAATTTTTAAACTCGTTCACTCGGTCGCTATGTTGTACAGTTACGTTATTTTATTCGTAATCTTTGGTATTTCGAAAAACTGGTAAAAATTAACTATAAATGAACATAAAATAAATGCGCAGATATAATGTAATGTAAATATTTTTTATTGACTGCTTCCTTTACTTTATTTACAATACTTAGACCGCATTCATGCATTATCTATAGCCACATTATATAAAATAGTTACCTCAGGGGAAAACGGCAGACTTACTTAGATTGATTGAAGTATGTAGTAGCGCTTGTATGTACTTTGGGTCATATTTGATTTTGATAACAACTTGAGACCTTCAATTTGTTATCGAATTTAAATTGTGTTATATGGACATTTGTTTTATTTGCATTAAACTTTCGCCGGATATAAGCTATGGCTAACTTTGGCAGATACGCTTTCATGGTTTAATACCGTTTGAATAAAGGGCTGAGACACACCTAGGCAGTTACGTGTTATATTAGTTCGTTTCGTGATGGAAAACTGGTAGCGTAAAGGTTGGTTCACACCGCGCTGTATTGACATTCATGAGTGAACGCTGGTCGCCTAAAGCCTTGGACACTTCGTTCTGTCGGCATTCGTGAGTGAACTCCGACTACGTAAGGGCTAGTACACACTGCGTCCTATTGGAATACGTGAGTAAACGCTGGCGGCAAAAAATCTGAGACACACTTTGTCTACTGACGTTCGTGACTTAATACTGGACGCATAAAGACTGGGACACACCGCGTTCGAATGGCATTCTTGACCGAATACTGGCTGTATAAAGGCTGTGACACACCGCGATCGATTAGCATTCGCGACTTAATACTGGCCCCATAAAGGCATTGACACTCCGCGTTCTATTAATGTTCGTAACTTAATATTGGCCGCATGTATGCTGGGACACAACGCCTTCTAATGGCATTCGTGATAGAATAATGGCCGCATAGTTTTAACGTGGTAGGGCCACGCAGCAGCCTCGGCTGTTGCACGAATGGACTGGCTCGTCCGTACGGTAAGTACCACGATCTCACAGAAGACTGGCGTGAAGTGGAAGTATAATACTATCGCATTTCGTCTGGTGAGTGAGGTAGCCGGAGCCCAATTTTCAAAAGGTTGTCAACGCATCTACAACCCAAGGGAGTAGCAGATGTCAATTGGCGGCGGTATTCACTTAACATCAGGTGAATCGCCTGCCCGCTTGGCAACTTTTCACATACAAAAAATATATACAGGGTGGCTTGTCTAAAGGTGCCTAAATTCGCATAGGAGGTTCAGACTCGGTAGTTGTACAATAAACAATTATCGTTTATTGAAATAAAAAACTTCTTTTTTTTTTTAAAACTGCCATTCTATTCCTTAGAAAACAGAACTTGTTGACAGTGCGGTAGTCAATCATAAATGCGTCGTATACTTTTGAAACGAACTTGTGTGCTTGTGTTAGTTATGAATGATCGCGCGTAGAATAAATGAGTTGCCCCATAAATCACGCACTTTTTGAGATAAGTTCAAATGAATGCAATAATAATTAAGAGTGATTTTAAATATTTATCATCATTTATGTGTAGAATTAAATTAAAAAAAAAACGGATACACTTAGAAAAGCCTCCCCGCATAAAAACCGGGCGCAGCACGCACCTTGGAAGCACGAGGTGACAACGGAGCTGCCGGAGCGCTTCTTCCTGCGGCGCTTCCTGCGCGCCTCCTCCTTGCGGCGCTGCAACTCCTCGCTGTCGGCGATCGCGACCGGCGCAGACGGCTCCGCGTTCCGCGCGCCCTCGTCCGACTCCCGCTCGCTGCCGGACTGGCTGCTGCAGAGGCCGACACCTGCAGAAAAGCAGAGGCTTACGCACTGTTCATCAATGATGAATCCACCAGCCCGCGCGCTTCGTATAGGCGGGCAACCATAAGGCTTGAGAAAGGACTGTGGTGGGGCCACGCAACAGCTGTTGCACGAATGGGCAATTCCGTCCGAGGGAGTACCACGACTTCTGCGTTTCGTCTAGTGAGTGAGGTAGCCGGGGCCCACTTTATTAAAAGAAGGCAACGTATCTGCAACCATACGGTTTTGCAAATGTCCACGGGCGGCGATTATCACTTAACATCAGGTGAACCACCAGCTCGCTTGCCATATAGTACACAAATTATTTTCAAAAATTAATTTCAGCAGTCCACCTACTTCGTAGAGTTAAAAGAGGGAAAATTTTATTTTTAACCAATCTCGGCTATTGGTTGAAGCAGAGAACTGCAATATAACAATATATTCGTCGAACAGTGTGAGTATGAAAACGATAAGTTTCATAGGTTCCATTGAAATTGTGCTTAGTCTGGGTGTGTTATGAAATATTTTAATGCGAAGTTCAATTTATACTAAATCAAACATGTTCAGCTGCAGACGAAAGAAATGCTTTAAAGAAAAAAAACACCTGAAATTAAATAATTTTCTTACTTAATAATTCAAGAACGTGATGGCGTATAGGCTTACAAGTTTCACGCACTTTCTCCGAAAGTTCCGACATAACTATTGACAATGCCGTCTCGCATTTATGCAAGTCTCGCGTATTATGATAACAAAGATGATGACACCTCGACCGTCATTTTAAAGGAGCGTTTGACGTTCGCACTAAAGGCAAGTCGGTCGAGAGTTAAGTAATTTTACTGTTGATTACATATAGAAAACAGTTTCTAGAATTGAGAGTTACTTGTGGAGAACTTCTCATTAGTTTTTACTTGATATAAGCGAAATGCAGACGCGAACTCTAACTGTACTCGAATGCTTTTTGCAATGATATTATGTTAGTACCTTCACGTATTGCGCTGTGTTTGTAATGATATCTATAAAACCAGTGTCGAACGCTCTCACTTCGATTTCCGTGCCAAGCCATTGTTTGGTTTTGTCGCGTTTCGCATGCATATACTGAAGTCACTTGTAAACGCCACGACACACGTCACAACATTTATAAATGTAGCGGGTTGTTTATGATCTGCGGCAAAGGTTCTGAATGTTTGTCTTTGATTCAAAAAGTATTTATATGGCGATCGTAAACGAAAATATCTTTAATTTTATTCGTAATTTTAAAAGGCTGTGGTACTGACAAGTGAAAACTTTGCTTTTTTTTTTATTAATTCTAATTTGAAGCACATACATTTCTGTTGTCTGCAGCACCGCGAATTCGACTGTAATGTTCCATTGTAAGGATCAATATGCATGAAACACTAAAATGCTTTATTAAATTGACAACAGCATTTGCATTTTGTGTACAGTAACATTTTAATTAATGATTGTGCATAGAACGATAGACACATCATCTCGAAACAAATAAGTGTAATATAACACAATTTCAAAGCATTCAGAAGGTACATGATAATCAACAGAGGTATAAACGACCATATATTTACGTGTAAATAACATGACAAGTTATCAGACGTAAAAATTAATCAGTTTTTTTTCCACTATATAAAAATTCCGATTAAATCCATTCGACTCAATTTTGTCGCAATGTTAAGTAATTATTTACAGGACCAATAAAAACTAAATAAAAAAATGGATTCCGTGAAAAACAGACATTACCAACTTATCATGCCTGATGCGTAAACATAGATTATTTTTTAAAGGACATTTTCAATTCGGTTGTATTTTTGACGTTATACTTTGTTTGGCGCGTTTGGAAAAAAAATGAGTCACATTTTTATGATGCGCGCGCACACCGACAAAAGCAACATCATGAAGTTGATTGCAAAGCTACCAACTTCGACCAATTTCATAATATTACTACGGCGACAAATAACAACAATTTGACATTTATATAAAATTCCAGTTATTTAATTTTAAACGATTTTCAAAGAGTACCGGCTCAGAGAATAAAACTTTTAGTCATTTTTCTTTTGTAGCGCTAATAAATGCGTACAAATTGTTTTTTAAGTTTCTTATCTAGGAACTCTGTCATTTATGAACCGATCTAAAAAAATAATTTTCCATTGGATTCGATTAATCTCCCGTGTGGTCCCATATTTATCATTGGTATTGGACCTTGCAGTTCGGAGATTCATTACTCATTGGTATTGGACGTTTGACTCCGGAGAACCATCAGGGAACTCCTCAAAATCGAATAGAAATGCATCGCGAGGCAGATATTTGAAGTCTGCTTTGATTTTTTTGCTGATAAGCAGCTAAAACAAATGAATACACTGCTAGAATCATTTTTTTTTTTAAATAAAACAACAGAGCCCGAATTGTGTTCTTTATATATTTGTGAATGGGACCGTTCGTGTATCTGGGAAACGTCGAACGTGTCGCCGTGAATACGTTTGCGGCGGTGACGCGTGGCGTGACTGCAGCTGAGTTGGCAAACAAAGCGGGGTCGACGGCCGGCCGCGCCCACTGCGTACGCGCCCACGTAAGCCGCCGCTCGTTCTAGCGGTCCCGGGTTCCGTCTATTCGAGACTAGCAACGTTTTACGACGCCCCAATGAGATCAAACCTCATTCATACACGCGAAATCGACGTAGAACTACGAATCTATTTCTACGACAGACTAGGGTAGATAAAGAATCTCTTTTTGTCTACAATGTTTTACACGTTCATTATCGTGCTCTTTAAAATTCAGTTATTCTCACAATAGTTTATTTTTCTAACCGTCCAGAGTAATTAACATTAAAATATGTAGAAAAAGTGCGAAAAGATTGTCGCCGCTGTGAGAATCGAACCCACGTCTTCGGCAATCTTTTCGCACTTTTTCTACATATTTTAATGTTCAATCTTAAGGCCAAAGATTAGCACTATAAACAATTTAAATTTCTAGTTACATTAAGTTAACATGGCCAAATAGATATCCCTGACGTGGTGCTAAAATTTTTCGTCACTGGGTTTACAAAAAACTCACTTGGAAAACATTATATTTCATTAGAAGTGTTATGATAACAGTCCCATAGACTTACACGACTAGATTAACACATTTGGTCTACTAAATTAACAAAGTATAGTGTAGTTTTTACATCAAAAGTACTACCCTGTAGTGACGCAGTGGTTCGAAATCTTAATCGACACTTATGCCATAGCTTCCTCTTCGTGTCTGATCGACGTTTTGAATTTTGATAGGGCGACTACGTGACGCCGTCATTCTAAATCGGACACCGTCATTCTAAACTGTCCCCTGCAATTGCCTCGTAAAGTACACATTCGAATAGCTCCACATTGTACAGTTCACGAACGTCTACATGTTCTATCTATTGAGATACTAAAAAAGCCAAATCGTTACACATACTCTGATGACGTCAAGCCATCTCACGCCAACGCGAACATGAATAAGACTAGCCCTATGTTTTTCTAAATTTAAATTTTAGTAGCAATTTCAATTTATAGAATAATATCAAGATACGATCGTATGGAAATTCATAGATATGTAAACACTGCCCTAGAGTGTGACGGCTATCATACGATCGCCGGTTTCATACTCGACTTCCTGTTTACAACTGCTCTATATTATATAAACTATGTGGATGGCGACTGACGCTAATTGTATCATTGTTAATAATCGCTACGACAGCGGAAGAAGTTAGAAATTGTTTGCAATAACCCACTTAAATATTGTAACAAACTGTTAATAAGATATACCATACAACTTGTTATATTTCATAATAAAATACTTTCAAGTATCAATTGTGGTATGCAATGATCATTTTTATTACACACATGACAATAGTAGAAAAGTACTGGTAGTTTAAATGCATATTATTTCCATTTACGCTGTTAATTTTACTGCGCATATCGTCTACAGACAGCAACATCCCTTTGCTTGCCGGAAACTGACCTAAAACACCCACCGTATTTGACGAGGCTTCGCAGAAATTTACAGTTTAACCCTAGCGATACTCTGAAAGTGATTCATTACTTCCTAATGATACGCGGACTGTTTTTATACAGGAATTGTTGTCGTACAAAACGAATGAATATATAGGTGGTTTCCGTAAATTGTCACGTTTCCCGATTGAATATTACACAAAGAGCAACGCCTACGCGTCGCCTCGAACGAATATAAATTGTTTCCACAAATTTCGCACAAAAACATGGGTATTAACGAGGCCATGTAACAGCGATGTAGCGATTAGCTACAATTAATTTGTTTCCGTTATTGCCACATTGCATATTCGACGAACGACAATTTTAGATGTTTTGTTTCATAAAATTAAAGGATCGGTTAAAAAAGGTGGGACATCACGAAGCTTAACCATAAACTATTAAATATTTACGGTGTTAAACTTGTAGTTCACGATTACATATTGTATAAATAAATAGTAATGGACTGTCACTTTTAATATATACCTATTATAAATTCAATTTATAATATATAGCGTTAATGATGCAAATAATGAAAAGTTACAATTGTCCTAATGTAATCTTCTGGATGTTGACAGATTGATAATCGGCAATCGAACAGCAATAGTAATGTCCAGGTGACGTTCGCATGTCGCGCGTTGTTGCCACGTTGCAGCTTGTGACAACGTGGCGGCGTAACGAACCTTTAGCGACATATGCCAGTAAAAGTAAACACATGTAATAGTTTCGTTTTTAAACAAATCTAGTGATGTAACCACTTATAGTGTCGATTAGTTTGTGATCATTTAGCGAATTATCGTGTTATTAAGCATGCATAATTATCACAACGTAGCCGATGAAGTAGATTTGTAACTTGAGTGATGAAATTTAAATATTGGCTTCCGTAGTTTGTCAAATTTTTCCATTGCGATTTTAGAAAAAGTATGAAGGGACTGTGCGGCTAGTGATTTTTATGTGAGAGGGTGACAAGCGAGCAGGAAGTTCACCTGTTGTTAAGCGATAACCGCCGCCCATGGGTATTTCTAACACCCGTAGGGTTGCGGATGCGTTACCACCCTTTAATAAAGTGGACCCCGGGAACTCACTCACCAGACGAAATGCAGAAGTGTAACACTTGCACCTGTGTTCTGTGAGGTCGTGGTACTTCCCCGGCCTGCCCATTAGTGCAACAGTGAAGACTTGCGTGACCCTAGACCAGTAAATGATTTGGCGTATTTAATTAAAAAAAATTAATTTATCTTTTTAAGCCCATTTGTCACCGCAGCGCCCTCGAACGGGAATTTTCTACTTTCTAATCCGTCCGGTATTTGAATGCACTCTCATTAGCTTTTGTGTACCCCGAGGCGGCGTAACAAGCAACTTTCTAATTGCTTGCTAATGCCCTTTCAGTGGATTGGACGTCTTAAATAACACCCTATCAGATTATATGGCACGCGGGTAAAAGTGGACACTGCGACGTGACGCAAAGTTGATTACATACTAGCGACCCTCCCCGCACGGGTGCAATGTATTATACATATAAACCTTCCTCTTGAATTACTCTATCTAGTAAAAAAAACCGCATCAAGATCCGTTGCGTAGTTTTAAAGATCTAAGCATACATAGGGACAGACAGACAGACAGTGGGACGACTTTGTTTTATACTATGTAATGAGGGACCAAAGTCTGTCACAGTGTGACAATAATTGCAACAAGAGCCTATTGCCAAGTAGGTCTGGCATTGTATACTAACTGCCACCACACACAAACTCGAACTCAAAATATCTTTATTCAAATAGACACAGACGCTTGCGCGTTCTTATGAAACGTAAATTGATATAAAGTTTTACGAACTTTATATCAATTTTTTTTATAATAACCACCGGTTCGGAAAGCGGTTTCTGTAGAAAAGAGCCCGGCAAGAAACTTAACAGTCGCTAATAGACGCAAATAACCATATTTTATGTATAGCTAGCGAGCGAGCAGACGGACTTTTAAAAAATTGGGTCTTTACATTCATTGAAAGAAAAAATTACAACACTTCTACTGCACGCCGATCTTCCATGATGCCGTGATAATTTTTCGAATGAGTTCGCCCATTCCCACAACAGCGTAAGTTGCCGTGTGGCTACGACAGAAGACCAACAACTCGCGCCATTCATCATCATCATCAGCCGTAGGACGACCACTGCTGAACATAGGCCTCCCCATTGACTTCCACTTCGATCGGTCGTTAGCACTCGCGCCATTACATTTACCATTATTACTCGAGTTCAGTCTTAAAAAAAATTAAATGAATTTAATTTCAGTTAAGCGTTTATTTAATTTCAGTCACCAAGTATTAATAAGTTGTATCAAAATTAACTGTATCATGTTACTACATATTATTTGTTCAAGATAGTTTTGTTTATCAATTTACTATCTTTATTTACCTTATCTTTTTTAATTTAAATATTTGTTGATGCAATAAATGGTATGTATCTGTTATATTTTTTTCATAACTTTTTTGTAATAAATTTATCAACAAATCACGCGTTAGTTTACTCGTGATTTGTTAGTTAATGCACATGAATATATTACGAATTGAACGTAAATGACATTATCGTTTCGGTCGGTTATAGTTGTTCCTTTTCAAGAGCTTTTCGACGTAGCGATGGTTATAACTACAAATAAGGGATAGTACGACAGCAGTTAGTGATAGGGTAGTTGGGCGTTCGGTGCACGCGAGAAATCGATTCGCAAAGCCAGACGCAGTGTTGTGAAGGGGGAGAGGGAGCGAGGGAGGGGGGGCGAGTGCATGACGTCGTAATAAACGAAGTCCGCCATGGGCCATGGCCAAGGTTACTCCGATTCTATAACATAAACAAATGCATAACGCAAGTTACTACTCACTCATATGGGTTTTACATAAACTGCATCGTTTCGAACGAATACGATGCATACAATTATTTTTCTTTTAAGCCTATAAAGAAAATCGAGGATAGTAACGAAGCTCGGACCAATAAACAGTTCTTTATTGGCCTGAGTAATGAAGACAGTACTAATCCTCTAATTTAACATTAAATGCGAAATTCATTCAACATTAAATGCGAAATTCATTCAACATTAAATGCGAATTGAATCAAATTCTCATCGTAATGAAGAAGAACGAACGACACATGCGTTCAATAACAGTTCGGATGAATGTTTTAAAATTTAAAAAAAGAAACGTAGAAGGCAGAATCTCTAAATTGGTGACGCATAAATTAAAAAAATATACACGTTGCGATGTGTAACATTCGCATTAGGCCGACTCAATTTTCTAGTACCGAGACTCGTGTAGAGCTGTAGAGCAGTGCGCAGTTCGGCGCTAGGTGACCTTGGCCGTGAACGCGAGGAGTTTCGCTTGAGCGACCGCGTCGGAAAGAAATGGTCGTTAAAATACGTAATGTGAAATTGTTTTCGAATTATTTACGCATTCCAATAAAAGTCACGCTTTGAATAGTCAACACTGATAACAAGTAGTTTTTCGCGGTAATTAATTGAGGTATGAAAATTTACTTTTACACCGACAATGTCGCGAAAACACTATTGTTTTGTATTAGTATGTTGTTGACGAGGTCGAATTGAGTCTGTTGCATGCGGTCATTAATTATTCAAATCTGAAATTTGAGTGTCAAGGAGTCGGGTTCGCGGATGTTTCCACTGAAATCAAGAAAACGAACAGATGTTTCGTAGCGGTAACATGTGTTGTATCAACAGCTTAGTCATATGCTTATGAAACACGTTATAAATGTTATCATGAGTAACTATTTACTAACATTAACATAAATACCTGAAGGACCTGAAAATGATCTGGTGTAGTATGTATTTTTCGTCCCCGAATCTACGCACATACTAAATTTCATGAAAATCGCTGGAGCCGTTTCCAAGATTCCGATTATATATATATACAAGAAATGCTCGTTTCAAGGATAAGATGTAGTTATTAAAATACTAAATATGTCATTTTGCATCAGGCAATTATATTTAAATTAGAATGTGATATCCCAAAGAGAATAATGAAGTTTCCTACATAAAGAATCTATCCACATCAATATGTCTTACAAATATTCCAAAATACGTGTTTGTCTCCAAGTATTTGATAAGTAAAGAAAGTTGAAAGTGATTTAAAACATTACCATTCTATAAACAATTAATGACATCAATTTAATTCGAACTTAAATCTAAACCAATAAGTCCTTAGCTGGGTCGTCTTTGCATCATTAGGATTGTTATAGGAGGCAAAAACCTTACAATGATACAAAGCCTGTCTTCCTGTTAGAATCTGATACTTATAAACATCTCGAATTCAGCCTGCGCTTGAACATAGGGTATTATGAAACATGGGTTCCCCAACCGGTCATCGTCCGTGAGACAAATTAACTCTGACATTTGACAACTCGCCTATGTAGTTCGAAATCTTGTTGAATATCGAAAATTAACTCCTTTTATCTTTATTATGACGGTTATAATCCTGTATTATGATAGTTGAATGTTATATATTCTCATAAAGAGAGAATAGTTCAATAAAACAACGAACGCTTATTAAATTGTGTAAAAGTGTGGTCGAAACGAGAAACTAATTTCTCGTAATAACGTACTTTGATTAATAGGTACTTGAAACTACTGCTTCTTTACTATTAATAGATCAGACCTTGAAGAGTAAGCCTCGCGTAGAAATAAAAAAATCATAAATCCAATTGTGAATGCAGTGTGCAGCACAGTGAAGAGTGGCAACGTCACAACTGCGTTGAAAACTATAATAACTAATGTTGTGCGTGGTTAGTTTTCTGTAGGTACTTCTAAGACTTCGTCTAACTTTGTTAAATTATAGTTTAACATCTTTGGATTTCACAGTTATACCGTCATTTTGCACTTCCTTTAAAATTATGTTCTACCTATATGATATAAAGGAAGACTTACTGATTAAAAACAACAACCGTATTAATAACCTGAAAATTTATATATTCAAATTACGTACGGTCAACACTATCGATAAAATAAGTTATAAATTATTTGGTAGATATTGCGAATACATAAAATCTACCCACAAGATGTGAACAAAAAAAAATCCAATATTCTAACGGATTAAAACAGAAATGGCGCTGTTATTGAGTACTTCAGGTCTATGAATAAGATACCTACTCAGAAAGTTACCTACCTACTTTGTAGGAAAAAGAATAGATGAGATGTTGGAAATAAAATTAAGTTATTTTACTGTTTTGGTATGCTTTAACCTACTACTGCATGATAAACTCATACCAAAATACTTAAATGAAATAAATACATTTGCCCAACACTAGAATTGCCGACTCGATCGCGCAAATTACACAATAGCCGTGAATTATGAAACGCAATGAACCGTTACTAACTGACAAAAAAAAACGACTTACCACTGTCTACGCTTTCTTCTGATATCTTCTTCACCATTCTGATGTTTGCCTGATGCTTTGATACAGCGATAATAAGAAAAATACGAGTAGGTGTTACTACTCTTGTGAAGCCGCTTTCAAACTTATGCGGCCGCCTTCTCGACGTGAAATCGGAACGACGTTCGAGACAAGATGTAGAAAAGTTACGCCGAAATAATAAAAATAATTAAAAAGCACCACCGTCGAGAAGGATTCACGGAAATTGTGCCGGAAGGTTTTAAACAAACACTGTTAGAAGGCGGATTGAAAAAAAACTACTGGGTATCTTTAGCGATCCATCCTACACACGCCCGCCCATTCGATGTTCTGAAATCCAACTGACGAAAACAGCCGGCTCGGGCCAGGCGGTGCCGATGCGGCGCATTTTACCGCCCGCCCCTCGCCCCGTGCCGTCCCCCCGAGAAGTGTGCGCGTCGTTGTGGTCTCCCGCCCGCGCATGCGTACTCTCTCACACGCTGACGTGTTTACATTTTTTGCCGTTTATTTCTTCTTTTCGTCGCTGAGCCGTTTTGGTTCATGCCTACTGTCTTTTCTACATTATCTTCGCATATTAATTTTATCCTGACTCCCCCACTTGACACCTTTAGTATATTTCAAGATATCGATTATAATCAGCTGTTTGTAATTCACCTGCTGGTTTCGATAATAATTATGTATTTATTATCATTTCAATCTATAGGAATGTAATTAAATTAGCAACAGATTTTTTTTTATTCAAGAAGGCATTATTGTAAATGTATTTGTATATTGTCTCCCCTTATTCATTGTAAATATGTTTATTTATTTGCAAGAATGTATTACTAAAGAAATTCTGAAAAAAAAATCATTCATTCAAATCATTCAATATAAACTTTTAGCTTTTACGTTATGTCATTAAGAATATTATGCAATGGAATCTTTGAAATGTCCGTAGATGCCGTTTTTTTTCCTTTCTTTGAAAATAGTATTATGCCATAGGGATTAAAGAGTCCTTTGTCTTCGTAACCCTTCTATGAATGACCTTCATAGGGCATTTGTTGACAAACAATGTACGGGAGCGGCTGCACGGCGCAATACGCACGTGGTTCGAGCCAACCGGTCCCACCGCCGGCAACCGGCGCCGCCATGTTTGTTGTCACGCCATCTTGCCGTCTCGTTCTCGTTAACGTGCCATGCTCTTCGTACTCACAAGTGTTCTGTCGCTCCTCGGTTCTCTCGCTCACATGCCTACGTGACCGACAATAAAATAACCCTTACTAAATCAGACCGTAGGCTTGTAATTACATTGAACGTATAACCGAAACCATTTCGAACTAAACATCGTTATAAGCTAGTTCCACAACATTGTTGCATACTAATCTGTTTTTCTACCATACTTATGATATTATCGTATATAAGCTTATGTAGATCTACTGGAATGTTTTTAGGCACCAGGTTGTTAGCTCTACCTAATCTACGAAGTTGTACATGTTGCACTTACATGACAAATAGATAATAGACCTAGGTAGTCTTCTATATGAAAAAAACATACGTAATACTTCAATTGAAAAATCTTTAAAATAAAATATGAAAAGTGAATCCAATCAATTTTATTAATAGTTGTTAAGTTTTTGCTATGAGTAATATAAAACGTTACTCATGTTGAACGTAGCCTAGTTACTTCTTTATTAGTTGAGATCACGCAATATTTGATCAACGATACGGCTACTGTGAGTTGGGTCCGATTCTCAATGCAACATTCTCAATTTTTTTGATTTTTATTATATGTATACTTATCATTGTTTATTTCGCATACGTACAAAAGTTAGTGTTTCCTGGTAGTGCTAGTTCTCCTTTGTCCTGCCCTTATCCATTGTCGTATCTAGAGGGTGGGTATTTTCTACAAAAAAAATCGTTCATCATAATAAAAAACGTAGCAGTTTCTTATCGTTATTAATTTTTATTAATTTATCTCCTCTCTCCGTTAGTTATCAAAAAAAAAAAGTAAAAAAAAATTAACATCCATTATTTTTAAACATTTTCTATATTTTGCTCAACTTCCTATTCATGCTGTGTGACGGACGATTTTCTAACAAACTTTTTGATTTCAATTATTTTTTGTGAAGTTTCTTAGGTGTTCAGCCTAGAACTTCAAGTCGGTAACCCAAAATCGTAGGGTGGGCACTAGACGATACAGGGTCGGGCATGGCCCACCCGGCCCCCCTAGGCATAGGCGTGTATAGGTACACGCCTATGCCCTTATCCTACCTAGGAGAGATTATCATAACATGTGAATTACGTTGATAATGGTTTAATTTTAGTTTAGTAGTTAAGTTTCTAGGTTTCTTACGAAGGGGTTGGGTAATATGTCCCAACGACCACGGTGACCTAGAAAAATCTATTGTAGTCTTCCCTTTGATAACATCGCCCCCTTACTGTGTATAACGCCTGTAAAGATGGACGTTCACGTGGGCAAAAACCCAGATCTGAAGAAATATCTGTGCAAAAGTTGTCTTTTGTGGAAATCGAACCCATGACTACCTTAGATTTTTTTTGCTGTATCAACCACAGGAGGAGGCCTTTACAGATCCACCAAGCTTGAGGTGGCCGGGCGCTGATGGAGCTTAGCCCGGACCTCGATTTTACCTTGGAAACTGTGTCACAGATCACTAATCTCTCTGTTTTACAAGTGGTAGTATGACGCCGTACGTGGCGGAAGTGTCGCCTATGCCAGAGGGCTCCACCCGTTTTCTTAAAAGTATTATAATTTGGATAAACTATAAATATAAGATGTTTTTTATTAGGTACCAATATACAATTATATAAAAATATACCAGTATCAATTTATGATATGTCTCGAACCATAAAATTTGAAGATTGAATCAGTTAACCATCGAGGCTTGTTCTACTATTGACTCGTTGAATTTATTCATCAGAGTAAATTGGAAGTTATAATTATTTGGGCTATTCACGCAAAAAATCATTATTAATAACATCGATGATCAATGTAGTATAGTAAAGTTAGGGGCTTTATAAGATTACTTAATTAATTTAAATAACACTCGATATAAAATAATCTTCTTAAAGTAGGACCCTTTGTATAAGATTGATCATCTTTAAGAGTCCAGTTTTAAAGATATTTTAAGAAGCAGAATAAAATATTCAAACCATTGCACACTTGCATTTACATATGAAAATAAAGCCCGCGAGAATACATCCAAGAGGTATAACCTGAAACTTAAAGAGCATTTTAGACATAAGCCATTCCAACAACGCGCTTATCGAAGGTATTGTTTGAATTGTTAATGTTGGAGTTGCTGTGAATCATGGATAAAAATAGATTAACAATCCAATAATTAAATGTAAAAGCCTTGCTAAAGGACGCTCGCCTTTAGTTTATTCCATATCTGTAATTTGCACGATGTCGATTTAAATCGATCATTTTGAAACAATAATTTTGAGAATGTAACCTTTATGAAAGGTAAGTACATCTTTTGAATGTTGTTTTTGATATGTATTGCGAAATAGATACTATGTACAGCGTGTCGTTACCATCGCGACAATAAATGAACACACGTCTAACGCTACTTGCCAATAATCATAAAAAAATATTAACGTTAATCAAAATCTATAATTAAAAAAAAAAAATTCAAACAAAGTAATTAAGTAAAAAAGAAACAAATTTTGTAACATCCTATACTTACAACTCGCGCCACAGCGCCGTATTACAAGCCTCTCCTTCTAACAGTATGTTTTGTTTCTTTTAAATTCATTCAACCCATTCATATGCTTTGTGACCTTTACAAATGAACTTTACGTTACGCTTTTATAGGTAAGGGTGTTCTAAAATTCTTTGTTTTGGAAAATTTAATAACCCTGTAAATATTGATGTTTAAAGAATTTAAATGTTTAATACAACTTTAAAAAGTTATCCCCTATATGTGTGTTCATTTATTGTCGCGATGGTAACGACACGCTGTATGATTTATTGTGAATACAATCATTTTATTGTGGAAATGTTTTTTGGCAAACATTGTCTCGAAGGTATCCAGCAAACGTATATAAGAATTAGTTACATAGCGATTTTTAATAAAATCGTTGTCATTTACAATTATTTCACTAAATTAATATTTCATCTGTTGGTCTTTGCAAACTCAGCATGCCAGGTAACATACCGGTTCCTACTTTCATGTTAGTGAAGTCTATAAATAATGTAGCTTTCAGTTACTATTATGTACTTCGTGAGACCAGGCAGTTGTCCAATATATGTATATACATCGCATGTATATCATACTTGTGTTTAAGAAATTTAATAGCGGTATTGATACTATATATACTTTACTATAATAATACTTTACTACAGATTACTAAAACTAAACTTATAAAAGTACCCCATTACAATTATACCAAAGTGCAAGATAAAATCCATCGTTTGTGTTTGTGACCAGAAGAATAAAAATCCACTACAAAGCATTACTTAAGAAGACGCACATTCCTTATTACGTCAGGTGTTCTGGATTTAATACCTACGTGACCCAGCGCCCAACACCCGAATCAAACACAAAGGAATAAAAAACCATTATTCAAGGGAATCCCGAAGCAAACCCCACCAACCATCTTCTACCAACATATATTTATGTTTTGGGCAAATGTGAATATATACTTCATGTTAACGAGATAAAGCTTAAATTTGAATGCAATTTGTTACTTAGTAAATTTTTAGAGTAGCAAACTTTTATTAACGTCCCTTTTATGAAATCGTGGGGGATCTGTAGCAATCACGCGTTTACGAGTTACCTACTTTTAATATAACATAGGAATCTTCTTTCTTCTTGCGTATAAATATTATGTAAATGTAAATAGTGTTATTTTTATTAGGTATGTTTATAGGTATTCATAAATCTTAGTTGTATCTGGTAAATTTAAATGCGATAATCAGTTGATTCCATTGTGTTCAACACTTTTGTCTTTTCTATATGTAGGTACCTATTTGTAAAAATAATACATACTCGAGCAACCTGAGAATAAACACCGGTGCCATTACCAATGAAATTTTAATTCGATCTATTAATTGTATTCAATACATATTCTATACATATTATATATATTATACAGCGTGTCTTTACCACCACGATAATAAATAATGCGACAAAAAATAACGCTAGTTGCCAATAATCATTAAAAAGTATTAACGTTAAAAAATTCCTTAATTAAAAAAAATATTTTTCAAACAAAGTAATTAAGTAAAAAAGAAACAAAATTTGTAACAACTATACAACTACATCTGACTGATTCATACATTCAGAGACTTTTTCATTTGTTGCCACAGCGCCGCATTACAAGCCTCTCCTTCTAACAGTATATTTTGTCTCTTTTAAATTCATTCAATCCATCCATATTTATGCTTTGTGACTTTTTGTCTTTTTTTTACAAATGAACTTTACATTAAAGTTTTATACGTAAGGCTGTTCTAAAATTCTTTGTTTTGGAAAATTTGATAACTCGTTAAAATGAAAAGAATTATGAAAAGTTATCCTCTATATGTGTGTTCATTTATTGCCGGGATGGTAAAGACACGCTGTATATTATATTTATTAATATGATAAAATTTTTAAGTGGAGGGTTATCAAATGCTCAACGATGAAGGAAAACGTCGTGAGGAATCCGGCATATTTTCTAAATAATAACACAAAAAAGAATTCCGAACGTATGTGAAGTCTGCCAATCCGCAGTTGGGTCTGAGGTCAGGAGGAGGTCTTTGCCCAGCAGTGGACATACATACGTAGGCTGTTTCTTTTCTATACAGTTTGTTTTTTATAGAATGAAAACTTCCGAACGGACGTTCCACTCCATCGCATGGATAGTGATACAGCCTAGATCGTCTTTTATGAAAAGGTGGCAAGAGAGTAGACAGTTCAACAGACGTTATGTGATAATCGTCTCCCATGGAAATCAAAACTTGTGGGCTTACATACCCATATACTGGTTACCTAACTAAACAGACTAAACGCAGCAGTATAAATACTTTAAGAACAGCGGTACTCTGTAAGACCGTGGCGCTTTCGGACGAGCCTAACCATTCGTGCAAAAGTATAAGATGTAGACCTTCCACAATAGACTTTTAACAGCGTTTAAACCAGTCACATTT